TTTCTACTTTTATTCCAAACTGGTGAATCTGAGGAAGCATTACCCCATGGTATGGATTTCTCTATTTTTTTAATTTCTTGAGGTTTACCTTGTGTCCTAGGATATGATCAATCTTAGAGAATGTCCTGTGACTGATGAGAAGAACGTATTATTCAGTGGATTTGGGGAAGAAATGTCCTGTAAATGTCAGTCAGAAACCCAATTGTTGTTAGAAGTTGTTTAAGTTCCATTTATTTCTTTATTAATTTTCTGTTTGGAGGATCTGTCTTGAGCGTCCAGTGGGGTGTTGAAATCTCCGTGTTAGGAGTTGCTATTAAATCCATTTGTTAGATCCAGTAAGGTTTGCTTATGAAAACTGGGTGCACCTAAAGTTGGGTGCATATATATTAAAATTGTTATCTCTTCTTGTTAACTGCGCCTTCACCATTATATAATGACCCTCTTTGTCTTTCACTACTTTTGTTGGTTTAAAAACTAAATCGTCTGAAATTAGAACTGCCACGCCAGCCTCCTTTTGGCTTCCGCTTGCCTGGAATATTGATCTCCACCCTTTTACTTTAGTCTATATGCATCCTTGCAGGTTAGATGTGTTTCCTGAAGACAGCATATACTTGGCCTGTATTTTCTTAATCATTCAGCCAGCCTATGTCACTTGAGTGGAGAGTTTAAACCATTCACGTTTATTGAGAGAACTGATAGGTAAGGTAGATTACTTTTCCTTCTGTAGTTGGATGTTGTTGCTTGATTTCCTCTTGATCCATAGAGATATCTGGCCTTTAATCTTTGTGTTGGTTTTTTTTTATTCATGCATTCTATTATGGTGTTCCATGTGTAACACTGTTTTGAGTACTTCTTGTAGGCTGGTCTTGTCTTGGTGAATTCTCTGAGCCTTTGCTTGTCTGGGAATGTCTTTATTTCTCCTTCATATATGAAGCTTAGTTTTGCAGGGAATAATATTCTAGGCTGTTCATTGTTTTGTTTCAGAAGAGTGACAGTGGGGCCCCAGTCTCTCCTTGCTTGTAAAGTCTCATTAGAGAAATCTGGTGTTATTCGTATTGGCTTTCCCTTGTATGTCACTTGCTTCTTTCTTCTTACAGTCTTAGAAGGGCCTCTTTAGTTGATATTTTGGTCAGTCTGATGGCTGCATGACGTGACGTTTCCTGTTTGCATTGAATCCCAGGGGTCTCTGGCTTCTTGAACTTGTATATCAAGATTTTGAGCAAGGCCTGGGAAATTTTCCTCTCATTATATCTTCAAAAAGCTTGTCCAGCCCTTGAGTGTTGTTTCTTCCCCTTCTGCTAACCCTATGACCCTCACATTAGTTTTTCCACATAATCCACAGCTCTTGTAGGCTTTGCTCTTTTCTCTTGTTTCTCTGCTCTATCTCTGTGACTGATTTATTTAATTGGAAGGTGTTATCTTCAATCTCTGAGATTCTTTCTTCTGTTTGATCTACCCTGTTCTTGAGACTTTCCACAGTATTTGGTAGTTCCCTGAGTTGATTCTTCATTTCCAGGACTCCGGTTAAAGTTTTCTTCACTGTGTCGATCTCTTTAGTGAACATTTGTTCCATATCCTGGAGGCTTTTTGTGTTTTTGTGTTGGTTATTGAGTGTTGTGTGCAGGTCGTGAGTGTTCTATGATCCACATTCAAAATTCCTCTTCTGTCATTTCAGTTGCCAGGTTTTGGTTGTTGTCTGTTTCTAAGGGGCTGGTGCTCCTCTTTGGGGGTGTGTTTTCCGTTGTTTCTTCATATTTCCGAGTTCTTTGCTGATTTCTTCCCATGTCGATCAGTTGTTGTTTCTTTCCTTTAGGTTTTCGTTTGGGTATTCACACATCTTTTTTAGTTTCTGAGCCAGTCGGTGGAGTTGCTCTCTGGCGACAGCCGTCACTGGGTTGTGTCTGCAGGTCTCTCTACCCGCTGGGGAGCCAGCAGTCCGAGATGTAGTGGAGGGGAAACAGTCAGTTACCCTACCCTTCCTGCTGGTCTCCGGGCTGTTCTGGCGGCCTCTGTCTTCTGTCTCCTTAATTACACAGGTGGAGATAGATGGCAGAACGGGAGCAGGTTCCTATCTCAGCTCCACCCCAAGGCAGGGCTAGAAAACTTGGAACTGAAGGCCCAGCCCCAAGTAACCAAGTGTGTGGGTCATAACGTCTCTCTGACTTGTATTCACAAAGGCTGCTCCTACTAGGCTAGGCCCTGCCCAGGCAAACTCCAGGGTCTGGACACGCAGAAGACCTGTGCAGATAGAGACTGGCCTGAAGCCGGCAGGCCCGTAGCAATCCCACAAAAAAAATAAACTTAACATGTATAGCAAAAAAAAAAGGTTATAAGAAGTGCTGAATAAAAATTTCAGTGGATATGAATAAAAAAATAAAAAAAAATAAAATTGTGCAAATGGCTTGAATAGGTATTTCTTCAAAAGATGATCTAGAAATGGCCAATTAAGCACATGAACAAATGCCCAGCATTACAAATAGGGAAATGCAAATCACAACCATAATGAACCCTGGTGCAGTGGCTCATGGCTATAATCTTAGTGCATTGGGAGGTCAAGGTGGGAGGGTTGTTTGAGGCCAGGCCTGAGAAATATAGTAAGAACTCATCTCTACAAAAAATAGGAAAATTAGCTGGGCATGGTGGCACACACTTGTAGTCCCAGCTACCGGGAGGCTGAGGCAGCATTATCACTTGAACCCAGGAGTGTGAGGTTGCAGTGAGCTATGATGATGCCACTACACTCTAACCCAGGCAACAAAGAAAGACCCTGTCTTGAAAACAAACAAAAAAGAAAACCTCAATGGGATACTATCTCATGCCCATTAGGATGGCTATTTTAAAAAAAGAAAAAAAAGTCAAGAAGTGTTGGTGACAATATAGAGAAATTGGAACTCTTGTGCATGGCTAGTGGGAATATAAAATGGTGCAACAGCTGTGGAATACAATATGGAAGTTCGTTTTAAAATAACCATAGAATTACCATGTGATCCTGCAGTTTCACTTCTAGGTATACATCCAAGATAATTGAAAGCAGGGGCTCAACAAGATAATTGTACACCAATGTTCACAGCAGTATTATATGCAATGGCCAAAAGGTACAAACAATGCAAATGCCCATCAAAGAATAAATGGATAAACAAAATGTTATACGCTCCTACAATGGAATATTATTCAGCCTTAAGACTGAATGAAATTCTAATACACTGGTATGCCTTGAAGGTATTATACCAGATGAAGTATGTCAGATATAAAAGTACAAATATTAATATGAATTCTACTTATATGAAGTACCTATCATAGAGACAGAAAGTAGAACAATGGTTATCTGGGGGTAAAGACAGAGATTGTTTAATGAGTACAGATTTTCAGTTTTAGCTTTAAAAGTTCTGTACATGGATAGTGGCCATGGCTGTACAAGAATGTGAATGTACTTAATGCCATTGAATTGCATACTCAGAAATGGTTAAAATGATAAATTTCATAGAATGTATTTTTATCATAATAAAAAGACAATATTAAAGATGGGTTTTAAATGCCTGAATAAATGAAGATATCACCATCTGTCACATACAATGTGAGAGATATTTCAGAATAGCAAACTTGTAGAGATTCTCTGAAAAAGTTCCCTCAGATTTTACTGAGCTCAGAATCAGTCCATGCAAAAGGCTCATATTTTGTCTGTATGCCTGGTCTCTTTTTAAATTTGACATTTTTAAATGGACTATCTCTTTGTTTCCCAATTCAGCTTTTGCTCCCTGGCACCAAATTCACTTAATCCTTTTCTGCGTTCCCCACCGTCAGGGGACTGGACTGTTTTATACCACCCTTATGCCACTGAAGAGGATTTGGTACGTGGTACGGAGAAAAATATTTAGGGGAGACCCCTACATATCCCTTCCTCTGTGAGGACCAGCTGGCAGGAACAACTCACTCCTTCCTCTATTTTTTCAACTTCTCTAATTCTAGTATAAATGTGCTCAAGTTATGCAACATATGAAATATTTTCTGTTTCCTTCTCGCATATATGGGTAAATTCTAGTTCTTTTCTTTGCCCCACAGCAAACCTTCTTCAAAGTGTAACGGACATTCTTAGTTTCACTTCTCCTTACCAGACTACTATTTTTCCTACAGCATACAGGCTCCCCCACCCATATTCCTGATTCCTTGGTGATAGTGCCCATGTGAAGTGATGAAGAAAGAATTACTACTAAGAAAGACTACTAAGGTTGCCATCACTACCACCTACCTGATCCTAGGGCAATTATTCTTGCCAATCTCATCCACGAAGTTCTACTAATAAATCAAATCTATACTATTCAGGCTTTACTTTGCCTGAGATTTCCTGGCATTTGACAAACTGACTATCTCTTCTTCTTGAAATTCTCTCCACATTTAGATTCTTCCTAAAGTTTATACCCTCTCTCCCAGGTGGCATGTGCAGCCAAGGACTGGATAACACAGAGGTACAAAGGCTGATGACCTTGCTTTGATTTGGGATGACTTTGAAAGGCCATCTTGCTTCAGAGCTCTCAGTAAGATGTACCAAGGGCTCAGTTACAACTGAATTGGAAATCATCTCTTTCTATCCAGTTTTGCAATCCTTACACTGTTACAGCATCTCATATGGCATCCGTTAGATGCACTGTTGAAAAAGCTTGCCTTTTACTCCAATAGTTTCAAAGAGCACACAAAAAATCCACTCTTGTTTTAGATTGTACTCTTATTGCTTCACTCTCGCTTCAAAAATTTCTCTCTGACTAATCCAATGACTGAAACAACATCAAGACCTACTACAATTCCCATCCATTATCCCTGGCCATCTGCCTGTTACCTGAACCCCTGGAGTCATTATACTTCTTATATCTTAGACTGTAATAGCCTCTTACCTTTATGACATTATCGGTGATGTTAAGGCCATCAATGAATACTTCCCCAGAGGTAGCACTTATCTCCCCAGTCAAAATTTGGAAGATAGTTGTTTTTCCAGCTCCGTTGTATCCAAGCAATCCAAAGCACTCCCCTTTTTGGACTGCAAGGGAGATGTTTTTTACAGCCAGAATGACCGGATAGGTAAAATAGATCTAAAGAAAATCCAGGAAACATAATTAAGTAAAGAATACTTACTGGACAAATAAACTCAATACCTTGGACCCCTATGGACTACTACCTCAGTTTCACACGGACTCTTCTGTTCTACTGGGAGAAATACACATAGATCTGAAGAACCACAATGAGCCCTTGGCTCCAAAGGCATACTGTTAAGTAGGAATGAAGCTAGCATATGTTGATCATTAAATCGCATTACATTACCTTTATCAGTTCCTTAATAAGCACTTCGGAATTCAGCAACTCCTGAGGCTGCTGCTTCAGGATTTTCTCTCTTTCATTTTGTACATCTATATCTTCAGAATTCCCAGATAACTCCTTAGACATTATATCCTGTATTTTTAAGACAAGAGTCATAGAGGCAGATGTCTGTTAGGCATCTGTTTTAGACTGGGTGGCTTCATGAAAGCTAAACTGGGGGATAATATTACAGATGTCAAAACAGAACGTGTGAGTCATTTCTTTAGAGACTTCCTGAATATCACTTGAGCTTGAAAAATTTTGAGTACTGGATAGTTCCTCAGGGAATCAGAGGGGAAGGAAAAGGTATTTACATATTAATAGTAGAAAGGATGTGAATTAACATGATACAGTGTGTATTTAAATCTTTGAAAGACATAATTTAATGCATTCAGAGAAATGATTTTATCACCTGGATCCTTAAGAAGGAAGTCATCTCAACAGAGTAGAAAAGCTTTAAAAAATACAGTAATAAGTTTATAATAATAAATCTTTTGCCAACATTAAAAGGGAATGCAAGCTCAGAAAAGTAGTGAGTCTTAAATGGACTTTTCCTAAGAAATTGTGGACTCTATGACCTTTATTTTCAAGGTAAATTTTATGAATGGTACTTATGAATGGTACATATGAATGATACTTAGTCATGTTGACTATACCACATAGCTTCAGAAAATAAATCCAAAGATATCAGAACAGAAATTTGGAATAGTTTTAAAGACAATTTTGTCCAATCATTGCAGAAGACATAGATTTTTGTTTTCTACAGCTTAAGAAATTAGGTCTATACAGCCTACTTTTTTTTTTTTTTTTTTTACCAGAACCAGACACTCTATGAAGGAAGACACAGTGAGAAGAGTCAAATATGATTTGTTACAATTGCAGTATGTTCAACATATGAAAAGACTAAAAGAAGAGTTAATTATTTCTTTTAGGAAGGAAGGAGAAAAAGTTAGCTACACTTTATATGGAAAATTTTTGAGATTTTCCGGAATTGCAATGTGAGAGACCTGTGAACCTATACCCCCAGTAGACCTGATGAAATTTGTTTTAAAATATGATCACTTAAAGCCTTTACAAATGATCCCATCTTAGTCTGTATTTTGTTGGTTACCTGAAACTGGATAATTTATAAAGAAAAGAAATTTATTTCTTATAATTATGGAGGCTGGGAAGTCCTAGGACATAGCTGGGCATCTAGTGAGGGACTTCTTCCTGGTGGGGACTCTCTACAGAGTCCTGAAAGAACATCATATGGTGAGAGGACTGAGTGTGCTAATATGGTTGATCGAGTCTCTCTTCCAGTTCTTATAAAGCCACCAGTTCTACTCCCTTGATAACCTATTAATCCATTAATTTATGAATGAGTATATTAATCCAATGGCTCTGCCCTCATGATACAATCACCTCTTAAAGGCCTCACCTTTTATTACTGCCACATGGGGAATTCATTTTCCAACACATGAAATTTGGGAGACACACTCAAACCATAGCACATCCTAAGAGCATATATAAATGAAGATACATTTATTCAAAAAAATCCATTAAATTTGTTAGGAACAGTGAAATCATGTGTCATTTGAATCGCTCTCTCTCTTTCTCCCTTCCCCCAGCCCAATGTGACAGAACTTTACTCCAGGCAGTTTCAGCCAAAAATACAGGGTTCCCTCTTCCCCAAGTTTCCAATCAAGAACTAAGGTATCTTTCTGGAAGGGGCAGAATATCAGCATTTCTCACCTCATCCCCCAGTAACCTAGTGCAGATGAGTGCTTGAAGTCCTAGCTATAGCAATCAGGCAAGAGAGGAGTATTAAGGATATCCAAGGGTATCTGGATCCCTATCTCTCACCTCTCACAAAAATTCACTCAAGATGGATAACAGACTTAAACCTAAGGCATGAAACCTTAAGAATCCTAGAAGAAGATGTAGGGAAGACCCTTTCAGACACTGGCATAGGCAAATAATTATTGAAGAAGACCCCTAGAGCAATCACCACAGCAACAAAAATAAACAAATGGGATCTTATCAAATTAAAAACTCCTGCACATCCAAGGAAACTATTATTAGAATAAATAGACAACCTACAGAATGAGAGAAAATATTTGCTCTCTATACTTCCAATAAAGGTCTGATAACAAGAATCTATCTAGAACTTAAAAGAATCAACAAGAAAAAAATCAAACAACCCCATCAAGAAATGGGCAATGGAAATGAACAGAAACTTTTCTACAGAAGACAGAATGATGGCCAGCAAATATAAAAAAATGCTCAACATCTCTAATTATTAGAGAAATGCAAATCAAAACCACAATGAGATATCATCTAACCCCAGTGAGATTGGCCTGTATCAAGAAATCCCAAAACAACAAACGCTGGCAAGGATGTGGAGAGACAGGAACACTCTTACACTGCTGGTGGGACTGCAAATTAGTGCAACCTCTGTGGAAAAGAATTTGGAGATACATCAAAGAGCTAAAAATAGAAATACCATTCGATCCAGCAATGACATTAGGCATCTACCCAAAAGAGCAAAAGACATTCTATAATAAAGACATCTGCATCCAAACGTTTATGGCACCAAAATTCACAATTGCAAGGATGTGGAAACAACCCAAGTGCCTGTCAATTCATGAGTGGATTATTAAAATTTGGTATATGTATACAATGGAATATCACTCAATTATAAGAAATCACAGTGATATAGCACCACTTATATTTTCCTGGATTGAGCTTGAGCCCATTATCTGAAGTGAGGTGACACAAGATCGGAAGAATGGGTTTCACATGTACTTGCCATCAAATTGGTACTGACTGATTAACACTATGGTGCTCACATGGTGGTGGTGTTCTTCAGGGACTAGCGGGTTGGGGGGAGCTAGACTCACAATTGAGGGATGCGGTGAGCATTGTATAGGGGAAAGGCATTCTCTATTCTTGCTAGGGAGAAGCAAAGATATAAAATGTAACCAAAATGTTTGTACTCTCATAATTTTCTGAAATTAAAAAAGAAACAATGGAGGTTTTGGTGGAAAGCAATTAAGATGATTGATAGATATATTAGGGATATAAATTAAACCATAGGCTAGCCAGATAAATCAAGCTTATTAACACATCCATTGCCTCGCATACCTATCTTTTTTTGAGTGGTGAGAACATTTCAAATCTATCTTAGGAATTTCCCTTCTTTTTATCATTTTATATTTAACTGACAAGTGACAAGTCTATATATTTCTGGGGTACAGTGTGGTGTTTTTACATATGTTTACATTGTGGAATGATTAAATCAAGTTAATTAAAAAGTATGTCATCTCTCATATTTTTTTTAAGACACGGCTCACTCTGTTGCCTGGGCTAGACTGCAGTTGTATATGTATATGTATATGTATATGTATACATATATACCATATATATGTATATGTATACATATATATCAAAACATCATGCTGTTTTGATTACAAATTGTATTTGATTACAAATTGTAATGAAAACATTACAAATATATGATTTTTATTTGTCAGTTAAAAATAAATTTTTAAAAGAATCAGTATTTTAGGGTATAGCTAGAGTAGTGCTTATAGAAAACATTTAACTTTAAATATGTATATTAGAAAAGAAGAGAGACCTAAAAGTCATGGCTTCAGGCTAAGAAAGAAACGAAGACATTAAGGAGAAAAACAAGCCAAAAGTAAGTAGAATAAAGAAAACTAAAAAAATAAAGACCAAAAAATCAATGAAAGAGAAGATAGTTAACAGTGGAGAGAATAAAGACAAAAGTTGGTCCTTTGAAATAATCAATGAAATGAATGTAGTTTATTGTACCTCAGTAATTGTACCTCAGTAACAATCATTTAAGAAAATGCATTCTTCTAGACACAGATTTTTTAAATCCAATAACTGAGGTAGCTATATACAGATATAAGCTTTTCAGGCCTAATTTTTAATTCTCTGAGAATTTCTCTTAAGTTGTTCATGCTTAAGTATTCACCTTCCTGATTTGCTTGTAGATGCCAAAGTAAACGTGGTGATTGATAAATGTTCTTAGTCTCCATAAAGTTGCCTCCCCAAAGAAAATCAAGAGTAAGAATACAAAGCCCATGATACTCATAGCAATCATATACTTTCCAATCTTATCCTTTTCCAAAGAATATATATTCTTCTGCAAAACTGAGAATAGCAAAGAAAAAAAGAAAAGCAAGAGAGTTAATCCTACTGCACAACATCAACACCATGAACAAGGACTCAAAAAACAAATAAGAAGAAATATAAGACAAAATGAAATATTAGGCTAAATTGAGACAAAGTATTTATACAGTATGATTATCCTGCTACAAAAATAACATTTGAATAATGCATTTTGGAGGCTGACCTTCATTAACATAATATATGGTAATCAAGTAAGCATACGAATATTATTTTAATAATATATTTATTTATGTCTAATAATTATTGTATACCATGAAAAATAGACCCTGCATCCTTTCAGAGCTGTGGAATCTTATGTTGATAATTACAAGGAAGCTTTAATGTACTTACACTCTTGGGAAAGAGAATATATAGTATGCCTTAAACAAGGTAAAACTGACCATTAGCTGAAACTTTTTGAACTTTCTTCAGAAGAAAGTTAATCAGTAAAAGGCACAGAATTCCATTCTAAGAAAATTATAAAGTCTACCTCCTTTAAAAAGATTTTTAGAACAGTTTAGAATTACATAAAAATTACAAAGAGAGTACAGGGAATTCCATATACCCTGTGCTCAATGTCCCTTGTTATCAATAACATACATTAACATGGTACATGTTATAATTAATAAATAAATGTTAATATATTATTATTAACCAACATAGCTAATTTATTCAGATTTCCTAGTTTTTTTCTGTTCTATGATTCAATACAGATACCACATTACCATTTCGTAGACATGTCTCTTTAGGTTCCTCTTGGCTGTGAAAGTTTCTTAGATTTTTCTTATTTTTAGTGACATCAGCATTTTTGAGGAGTACTGGACGGGTAAATTGGGAGACTCTTAATTTGTATCTATCTATTTTTTTATGACTAGGATGGGGTCATGGGTTTTGAGGAGAAAGACCACAGAGTTAAAGTGCCATTTTACCACACATAAAAAGGGTACAGCATACTATCAATGTGAGTGATCACTGTTGATGTTGACCTTGGTCACCTGGTTGAGGTAGTCTTTGTTAGCTTTCTCTATTACAAGGTCTTCCTTTTTTCCTCCTTTATATGCTGGAAATTATAAATATCAAATTAAAATAAATATATTTGAACATAATTTAAGTATCAGAATTCCTTTGATATTTATATCAAAATAGATTCATAGATATTATCTTTAATACTTTGCGTTATAATCCAATTCTACTTTATTTTGTTGCTTGAATTGTTCCAGATTTGATAATCATTGAACTGTCCCTTTCTTAGGAATCATATTTTATATGCATTTGTAGTCAATGTATAAAAATGAAATTGAATTTTATGTTTGTACTTATTTTGAATTCAGCAGCTGCACTCAATTACTAGAAAATTTAATAATTAGGGGATTCTTTGAGATTTCTGTATAGACCATCACATCTAGTATTATTTGATTTTTTCCATTTCTCATACTTTAGAATTATGTTTTTAAAATGCTTTATTCATACCAAAGATTATATGCTACATATGTATAAATCCTAAGCATAATAGCATAATGGCATCTATAAACCAAGTCCCCAAATTAAAAGTTTACAGATAATTTTCAAATGCTTATGTGATCCTTCACTTTTCCATCCTCCAGAGGTAACCACTATGATGAATTGTGTTCTGCATTCCTGTTTTACTTACATACAAGTGGGTCATTATATGTATACTTAACAATATTTTATTTAATTTTTAAATTTGAATGTTATAAATATAATATACTTCATATAGTCTTCTGGAACCTGTTTTCTCCTTATGTTATTATTTCTGGAATTCTCAAACATAAAGTGAAATAACAATACAACAAACACTGTTCCTTCCACCTAGTATCAACACTGTTAATGTTTTTAACACTGTTAACACTGTTAACATTTGCTCCCCACACTTCCCCCCACCACATGTATATTTATAAGTAAGTTGCCTTTCTTGTTTTTAAAAATGTTTTTTTTTTTGTCATAGGTGTTGTTTTTAGTTCTTTTTCCCCCCCTCTAATACTAGCTTTGTGTGAATGCTGGCTACCTCTTTCTGCTGTGAATTGTTGTGATGGATCATCAAAAATAGTAATGCTATGGAATGTGATGATGATTACTTTGGGATGATTACTTAGTGGCTAATTTATGAAAGCTATTTCTATTGGTAGAATGAAATATAGTTTCTTTATATGTAAATGTCTTTTGGCTGGGGAGTGAGGCGTGGGGTGGTGGTGGTGGTGGTGGTGGTATGAATATAGCTTTCTGATTTCCTGATATCCCATTGATTCTGCAGTACTCTTAACTTATGCTATTTATTTTCTTCTTTATATACATTGAATCTCCAAGGGATAATTATGTCTGCCAAATTATCCTTCCTTTTCTCAGATTTTGTCTTTCCAAGAATGGGAATTTTCCAAAAGTATTGAGATATCCCATTACATGTTAGCAGTTCAAGGAATCTAAGCAGGAAAAATACTAATCCCCAAACCACAGTGAGATACATCCCAGTCATGAAAAGAAGGCAGGCTGACAATAAATAATCTAATAATTCATCTTATGATGTTAGAAAATTAAATGCCCAAAATGTAGAATGTAGAAGAAGAAAACAAAGAACATAAACTAATAAGTTAGAAAATAAACATGCAATAGAAAATAATCAAGAAAGTTGAAAGCTTGTGTTTTAAAAAGACTAATAAAATTGATAAATTCTGGTAAGATTGATTTAAAAAGACAGGTGGTAAAAATTGGAAATGTTATGAATGAAAATGAAGACATCACTATAAATCTGACAGATGCTAAAAATACCATAAGGTATTATGAACAAATTTACTCTAATAAATTTGAAATTTTATATGGAGTGAAAAGATCCTGTAAATACTCAACTCCTCACTCAAATTATTAGGAAGATACCCTCAAATTCTACCTTTATTAAAGAAATATGATCAATAACTAAAAACCTTCCCAAAGGACAATCTCCATTCACAATTAACTTCACAAGTGAATCTGTCAAACATCTAAGAATAACACCAATCCTACACAACATTTTTGAGTAAATATAAAAGAGGAAACACTTCTTACTTCAATCATGTTTATTTTTTATACTAAGAGCTAGTAAGTACTTTACAAAAAACTCCAATAATTTTAGGTTAACCTTTTTATAGACATAGATGCAAGAATCCTTAATAAATATTAGTGAACTTAACCATAATATATAAAAAATTTAATATATCACAACAATGTGTCTCTGACAAAGCAGTAAGTCAAGAACAAGGAATAAGTGTATATGGATTGGAAAAGAAATATGCTATTAGCAACTGCTTTGAATATATTCATTAAAATAAAAAATAATTCATACCTAAATTAAAATTAATAACATGATTTAGAAAGTTTAATATACAAAGAATAAACTATTTCAGCTGCATTTTTATATATTAGCAACAATAAAAATTAAAATGACACTTAAAAAAGGTCATTCTATCTATAATATCATCAAAAGATATACTGGGATAAAACTAACAACACAGTTGAAATACCTATAAACTAATAATCACCAAACAGTATTAAATAAAAATGAGGAAGACAATATAAACTCTTCTCCTGGAAGTTCCTTCCTATAGAGGGAATGAATTATGCAGTAGAAGAACATAAGCTCTGAATCCCATAAGCTCTGAATCCCAGTTCTGTCCCATAAATCTGTGTGACACAATGTACATAGTTTCTTCACATAAGTATAAAAACAGATAACTTGAGGTTGTTGTGAAGATTTAAAATAATGTAAGAAAAGCTAGTAGATGGTTGATTATTAGTATCTCTATCTGATGTCTATGTTAAACTTACCTTAGATTTTCTTTTGAGGTTTTATGATATTTTAAAAGGCTTTTCCCAGTGTCATAAAATGACTTATGTACCGAACATGTGTCCTGACTCTTTCCTTTGAAAGAAGGGCAGATTCTCCACAAGTTTCATGGCCTGAGCCTGAGACTGATTTCCTAGACACTTAGGGGCCTGAAGATACTTACATTCTTCAGTACAATTCAAGCTTTCAGGAAACTTCAGTTCTTTGCAATATATCTCCGCCTCATAGATAACAGAATATTCACCAATGCACTTCGCAAGGTTGAAATTGGGAAGGAGCAGTAATAAATTGTTCAGGAAGGTTCTGGTGACATTTGATATGTTAGTGTAATCTTCTAAAAGGATAATAAGATAATAAGATTAGGTTACATTGCAGGAAATTAAGTACCCTCAGCACAACAAATCCCCTGGTGATGATCAAACCAAGCTCAGGGAATTAAAAACCAGATGATTGTCCTTGAAGAACACTAACACTAACACTAACCCGATATATTTGTTCTAATTTATAGATGGTGACATATTTAATAGTTTGTGTGAATAATTGTAGAATTCTGAAAAGTCTTTTTGATGGAGTGGGTATCCACATCATGAGTCTTTCTGGCATCTTATATTAGGCGGAAATCACTACTGGCTACTTTTCACATTTCCAATATGAATTGATGGACTAAGGGAGTGAAGCAAGGTTGGAGATAGAGGCTAGAATTCAACAGTAGGGAACAAATAGGGAAAATTCTGAAATATTTCCAAATAAAAAAAAACTTCAAAGAAACAAGCTGATACATTAACTAGTGTCTTTCCAAAAAAATGAACTGCATATGAATAATAATTAAAGAGTAAATTTCTAGAGATATGAACATGTTTAATTTATGAATTTTCACTGTAGAATTTTGATAATGAATTCACATATTTGGGAAGAGGATAAAAGACAAGTTTAAACAAAAAGTTCTTATAAAACACTTTAAACAAAAAGAGTTGGATAAGCAACAATCTGATGGAGACCTTTATCCTAAGGGAAGTAACCTAAAGAATAGAAAAACAAACACCACATGCACTCACTATTAAATTGGAACTAACTGATGAGAACACATGTACACAGAAGGAAGTAAAACTCAGGGTAAATCAAGAAGTGGAGGGAAAGAGGAGATGGGTGAAAACCTACCTAACAGGTATAATGAACACTGTCTGAGTGATAGGCATACTTATAGCCCTCACTCAGGCATTACAAAAGCGATCCATGTAACCAAACACATTTGTAGCCCTGCCCCCCTGCCACGATATTTTGAAATTAAAAAAAGAAAAAAAATATGGATCCAAGCACTGCCAGGTCATAGCTACTATTCATATGTATCACAGTTAATAAAATAATGTCTCTTTTCAGAGATATTCTATATAAAAAGAGAGATGGCCAACAAGTGAACCCTCAAGTGCCCAAATTAGGACACGTCTGTCCTGAGTAGATCTTAACTTGATATAGAACCCAAACACTGAGAAATAATGAAGAATTTTGGATACTGGCCACTTGAACACACTCCCCAAAATGGCAAGGGCTAACTATATAGACCAGCATTGTCCAATAGAATTTTTCATAATTATGAAAATGTGCTACAGCTGTGCTAATACACACGTGGCTGTTGAGCCCTTGAAAAATGGCTAGTGTGTCTACTGAATTTTAAATTGTATTTAAATTCAATTTAAATTTAAATTTAAATAGACACAGTGGCTATTAGCTACCATATAAGACAGTACAAATATGGTCTAATGTTTTTTGGTCTCTCTCTGTATCAATCATAACTATCTTCTTACCTCCAAAAAGTAAAGTAAGAGCTTTTTCGATGAGGAAGAGAAACAGGGTACCTTATCTCACAAAATTATGAAGTATTCTTTAGAGACGAGAAAAGGTAAAAATTGGCAAAAAATGTGTTACTAAAAACATATATCAGCCAATTTAGCACTGACAGTGACCACTCAAAATATCAACCAACTAAACTGTACATTAACTATAAGCATCTGGTGTGGCCACCTTGATGTATACTGGTAGAATATCAATCCTCTCTAAAGAATTCTAGGGAAGGCTGTATTTGATACATGTTCATTTGGCTTGCTCCAGTGTCCATTCTTCATACTCTCGCAACACTTCCTCAGATTTCATAGTATTTTTCAATAATGGTAGCTTCTTTCTTATCAATCCATGCTTTAGTTACCCTTCTACTTTACATAACTAATCAAGACCTAATGTATAATGTTTAACAGAACTGGCAATAGCAGTCATCCTCCTCTAGTTTCCCATTTTTAAGGTAAATGCTTTTAATGAGTGAGCATTGAATAATATATTTGCATAGATTTCTGCATATGCATATGCCATGGTAGTCACTGGCTTAGAATGTTTCCTAGTTCTGTAATAGCTGAAACAGTCTCAGGCTTAATGACCACTCCAGATGGCCTGGCCAGAATCTGTTGACAGGCTTACTATTGAAGGATGTTCCCAGGCAAAACCAGTCTGCCAAGATTTAGAAATAAGTACCTGCTTCTTTAAATGCGCAGAGATTGACTGACAACAAGAATCAAGAATAACCAGGTTAACATGATGTCACCAAATGGAGAAAATAAAATGTCAATCACTCACCTTAAAGGAAGGGTGATGTATAAACTAGCTGAAAAGAATTCAAAATAATTGTTTTAAGGAAGCTCAGCAAACTCCATGAAAATACAGAAAAAAAAATTCATAGAAACAAGGGAAACAGTAACTGACTAGAACTAGAAAGTTTACAGAGATTGAGATAATACATTTTTCAAAACCCAGAAATTCTGGCCTAAAAAATGAAATTAATAAAACAAAAGATGTGATAACATCAATAATAGAACTGGTCAACCAAAACAAAGTCTGTGTACTTCAAGATAGGTTATTTGAAAATATATGATCAGAAGAAAAAAAAAAAAGAGAAAAAATGAAAAGGAATGAAGAGAGGATATGGAATTTATGGAATAGCATCAAGAGAGCAAATGTTTGAATCATAGGTATTAAAAAGGTGATGAAAAAGACAAAGAAATAGAAAGCTTATTTAAGGAAATAATAGCTCAAAAATTCTAAACATGAAGAAAAATATAAATATCAAGATACAGGAGAGTCAAAGGTCTCCCACCACATTCAATCCAACTGAGGATACTCCAAGACAAATTATAATCAAAGTGTCAAAAATCAAAGACAAAGAGAAGATTCTGAAACCAACAAGAGGAAAAAAGAAAATGACATTAAGGGAGTTCCAATACACCTAAAAGCAGGCTTCTCAGGACAGATGTCACAAACCATCAAAGAGTGGGATGACACATTTAAAGTACTTAAGGGAAAAAAAAATACTGCCAACCAAGAATATGGTACCCAGCAAGGGTACTATATTCTTGGGGTACCATAGAATACCCCAATTCTATGGGGTACCATAGAATACAAGGGTACCATATGAAATGAAGGGAAGATAAAGACTTTCCCACACACAGAAAAGCTGAGGGAATTCATCGACACCAGACTGCTGCTAAAGAAGTGCTAAAGGGAGCTCACCAAGCTGAAAGTAAAGAATGCTAATGAGTAACACAAAAACATCTAAAAGCATAAAATCCACTGGTGAATGTTAAGTATACAGTCAAATTCAGAATACACAAATCCTGTAATGGTGGTATAAATCATTAATATCTTGAGTATAAAGATTAAAAGACCCACTATTAAGAATATTAATAGCTTTAATAAGTTGTTAAAGGATATGCAATATAAGAAGATGTAAACTGTAGCATCAGAAATTCAAAATGTGGAGGGGTGGAGGGAAAAATGAAACTAAAAGTGTATAGTTGTTTTGAAATCAAAGTTAAATTGCTATCCACTTAAAATAACTTATCATAATTATGTTTTTAAGCCTCACAGTTACTATAAAGCAAAAACTTATAGTGTGTGTGTATGTGTGTATAAATATATATATATGAATATATATATATGAATATATATATGCAAGGAATTAAAACATACCACTAGAGCAAATGACTTCACCACAAAGGAAGACAGTAAGACAGAAATAAAAAAGAAATGACCTATAAACCACTAGAAAACAATTAAGAAAATGGCAGCAGTAAGTCCTTATCTATCAATAATTACCTTGAATGTAAATGAATTACACTCTCTAATCAAAAGACAGAGTGGCTGAATGAATAAAAAATAAGATAAAATTATATGCTGCTTACAAAAGAATCACTTCATCTGTAAAGACTCAGACTGACAATGAAAGGAGGGAAAATGACATTCCATGCATACAGAAACTAAAAGCGAGCAGGGGTAGCTATACTAGGAAAAATAGAGAGAAGATTCAAATAAATAAAATTAGAAATAAAAAGGAAATCTGTAACTGATACCATATAAATACAGAGGATACTACTATTAGATTAAACAGACTTTAAGTCAAAAATTGTAAAGTGAGAGAAGGAAGGTTATTATATAATGATAAAATATCCATTCAGCAAGAGGGTATTATAATTGTAAATATATATGCACATAAAATTGGAGCATCTAAATATATAAAGCAAATATTAATGGAGCTGAAAAGATAGATAAACTATAATATATTAATAGTGGGGGACTTCAAGACCTACTTTCAGCAATTAAAATATCATCTGAACAGACTGTTAATAAGAAAATATAAAACTTAAACTATACTATAGACCAAATGGACCTAACAGGCATATACAGAACATGCCATCCAACAGCTGTAGAATATATACTATTCTTAAGTGCATATGGGACATTCTCTAGCACAGATCATATGTTAGGGCACAAAACAAATCTTAACAAATTTTAAAAGGTTGAAATAATATCAAGTATCTTTTATGACTACAATGATATAAAACTAGAAATCAATAAAAGACCTATGGAAAATACATGGAAATTAAACAACACACTGCTGAATAACCAATGGGTCAATGAAGAAATTAAAATGGAAATTTAAAAATATCTTGAGCCTAATGAAATGGAAATGTAAAATAACAAACTTATGGGACACATCAAAAGCAGGTTTAAGAGGAAAGTTTATGTAATAAATCAACAAAGAAAAAGATCTCAAATAAACAACTCGATAATATAGCTGAAGGAACTAGAAAAGCAAGAACAAACTAAGCCCAAAATTAGTGGAAGGAAGGAAATAATAAAGATCAGAGTAGAACTAAATGAAATAGACACTAAAACACTATAAAACAATCAGTAAACTAAAAGTTTGTTTTTTGAAAAGATTAAGAAAATAGACAAACCTTTAGCTATACTAAGAAAAAAGAGAGATAATTCATATAAATAAAATTAGAAATAAAAAAGGAACTATAATACAAAGGATCATAAGATACTATTATGAGTGATTACATACCAACAAAATGAATACTATAGAGGAAATGGATCAATTCTTTGACATATACAACCTATCAAAATTGAATTCTGAAGAAAGAGAATATGAATAGACCAATGATGTATAAGAACATTGAATATGTAATAAAAAGTCCCCCATCAAAGAAAGGCTCAGGATCTAATTTACTGCTGAATTCTACCAAAGATTTAAAGAAGAACTAATATCAATTGTTCTCAAAGTATTCCAACAAATTTAAGAGGAAGGAATACTTCCAACCTCACTTTAGAAGGCCAGCATTACCCTGATAATAAAAACAGACAAGGATACAATGACAACAAAATTATAGGACAACACCCCTGATGAACATAAATGGAAAAATCCCAAGCGTTGTACTAGAAAACCAAACTCAACAGCATATCAAAAGGATCTTCACCATGATCAAGTGAGATTAATCCTAGGAATGCAAGGATGGTCAATATATGTGGTACATCAGTAAATAAATGTGGTACTTCACATTAGCAGAATAAAATACAAAAACCACTTGATTATTTCAGCAGATAAAGGAAAAGCATTTGAAAAATTTAACATTGTCTCATGATAAAAAGTCAACTAATTAGGTATAGAAGGAATGTACCTCACATAATGAGGGCCATATAAAACAAATGCATGGCTAGCATCATACTCAATAGGGAAGAATTGAAGGGTTTTCCTTTAAGACCCAAAACAAGACAAGGATGTTCACTCTCACAACTTATAGTCAATATTATACTGGAAGTCCTAGCCAGAGCAATTAGACAAGAGAAAGAAATAAAAGGCAGAAATAATAATAAAAAGAAGAAATTAAATTGCTCCTGTTTGCAGATGACGTGGTCTTGTACAAAGAAAACCATAAAGATTTCACACAAAAATTGTGAAACTACTCGAAGAAAACATAGGGAAAAAGCTCAGTGACACTGGTCTATGCTATGATCTTTTTGGATAAGACTTCAAAGGCACACACAACAGATGTAAAAACTGGCAAATGGGAATACATCAAGCTAAAAAACTTCTACACAAAAAATGAAACAACTGACACAGTGGAGATTCAATCTGCTGAATGGCAGAAAATATTTGCAATCCATACATCTGATAAGGGGTTAATATCCAACATAGATAAGGAATTCAAATAACTCAATAGCAAAAAACCCACACAACTCAATTAAAAATGGGCAAAAGACCTAAATAGACATTTATATATATGAAACAATATTAAACATCACTAACCATCAGGAAAATGAAATTAAAACCATAATAACATATCATTTTACTCTTGTTAGAATAACTGTTGCCAAAAAGACAAAATAGTAAAAGTACTGGCAAGGATGTGAAAAAAAGGGAACCTTTGTACACTGATGGTGGGGATGTAAATCAGTACAGTCATTATGGAAAACACTATGAAGGTTCCTCAAAAAACTAACAGTAGAACTACCATAAGACCTAGCAATCCTACTATGGATATCTAAAGGAAATAAAATCAGCATATCAAAGAGATATCTGAACTCCCATGTTTATTGCAACACTATTCACAATGGAATCAACCTCACTGTCCATTAATGGATGAATGCATAAAGAAAATACATATAAATACCATGCAATACAATTCAGCCATAAAAGAGAAGGAAAGCATTCCATTTGCAACAATATGAATGAAACTGGAGGACATTATGTTAAATAGAGCAAGTTAGGCACAGAAAGATAAATGCCACATGATCTCACTTATATATGGAATCTAAAAAAGATCTCCCTATTACAGAGCTCCACAATCACAGGCTGCCTGCCTCATTCCCTTAGCCCTTCACCTGTCATAAAAGAATTCCATGTACTAATTGAAGATTGGCTTATATACTCCTTTGTACACTTCTGCAAGGATGAATATTGCATGTGAGTAAGACTTGAGTCTCTGCATAGCAAACTAAATTACTTGCAAGAGCTATGCCTGAGTGTTCATTCTCACAGAAGAATGCCAAAAGTAGAATGGTGGTTGTCAGAGGCAGGGGCAGTTGGGGGTGGGTGTTAGAGAGTTGTTGGCCAAAGGATACCAAATTACAGTTATACAGGAGGAAAAATTCAAGAGATCTATTGCACAGCCTGATGACTATAGCTAATGATGTTATATTGTAGTCTTGAAAAATGCTGAGAATGTTGCTCATCACAACAATGATAACTATCTGAGGTCGGGCATGTATTAATTGACTAGATTTATCCATTCTGCAATGTGTATATACTCCAAAACTTTGTGCACACAATAAATATATCCAATTTTATGTCAATTTAAAAAGTAATAAACTTGAAAAAATAAATATTCAATGTATAAGCTAGAAAGAAGATAATAAACTTAATTTGCAATCATACCCTTGTATTTAACAAACTCAAAATCAAATGAAGCTCCTGGAAAATTGTAATTTATCTTAATATTTTCCATAACCTTGAAAATTCATTTTATCTTTACAAAACAAATGCTTGCTTACCTCCCAAAATGCTTTCACTTTATTGTTGGATTCTGCTGATTCCATACTTTCTTCTCAGTTCATTATTTTTGGCAAAGTATCATACACAGTGTTATACGGGTGAGAAGTGGAAGTCTCTTTTGACTTTTTAATTGCTACATCTACTCACTTCTTTTTTGTCCTCACCCTACATGACTCTTTGCAACATTTTCCTCTCAAAATATATCTTTTGAAATTTCTAAAACAGTAATCTTCTCTTATTCTTATTCAACCACAACTATTCTTCTCTAGTTTCTTAAATAGTTCTGCAAAATTTCATTCTAAGTCAGGGTCCACAAACCCCAACGTTTTTAGGTGAGTCTTCCTCATGTAACACAATATTTTCCCTTGGAGAGGTATGAAAAAATGTATAGACATTTGATTTTCATAATTTTGGCATTCTTTTATGAAAATGAACACTCAGGCATTGCTCTTGCAAGTAATTTAGTTTGCTATGCAGAGACTCAAGTTTTGCTCACATGCAATATTCATCCTTGAAGAAGTGTACAAAGGAGTATATAAGCCATTCTTCAATTAGTACAGGGAATTCTTTTATAACAGGTGAAGGGATAAGGGAATGAGGCAGGAAGCCTGTGATTGTGGAGCTCTGTAACAGGGAGAGAGGAAGTACCTGACCCAGTTCATAATTCATGTTTACAAGGTGATTCAACAAAAGAGTAACAGTCGTTATTTAAAAAATTCTTTGTAATGATAGTCAATTTAGTAAATATATACCCAAATATCATAATTGGAGAAGGAAAACAAGGAGATACAAATTTAAGAATTCTGCATAAACTAGGACTGGAAAGAAGAAAAACTGGCTTGGTTATATACATGTTAGATGAAGACAGAGTTTTTCTTCTTTCTGTAAAATCCCTTCAGGAGGCTCAGGTTCTTGTGCCTTTTCACGAATCAGTGAGGAAGAGCCATCCTATAAAACCCTCCTAGTATCTTCCAGACAGCTCAGGATTCCTCTCTAGACTCTTTCCTCTCTCTGGACTTCACTCGAAAGTGCCACAATATCAAGGAATAGCACTCTTAAAGACAGTGACTATATATTTGAGACCTAATTTCCTCTTTCTAAGGCCTTCCCTTCTAAGAAGAAAGCTGCTCTTTCCTTCTCTTTCTGGCAAACAAGTCTCAGGGAAAAATACTCCTAAATTTCCAAAATTAAGTGCAAAACTGATCCCTTAGGTCATGCGATGGAGCCACAGGAGGTAGGGATAAAGAGAAGGAATCACGTCAAAGGACCTGCAGCTCAGGTCCAGTCCCATCATTTTAGCATGAAGATCCCAGATCTGGCACAATGTCTAGAATATCACAGGCACGCCAAATAACTTTACTGATTTACATCAAGTACACAATTTCCTCTAATAACTAGAACGTAACTGTCTGCAAATGCTCTTAGATATCTGTAGGCTCCTTACTCCTTATTTATTTACTGCTGCATTCTGAGGGAGGGGAAGTTTTATGACGTCCTTACACTTACCGTTTTCTAACGCGAAGTGCATGAGATAACCAAGGGTGCCAGAAAAGTAGTTGAGTAGGAGAAGCTGGATGAAGGCAGAAGGACTTTTATAGTACCGGAAGCTCATCAGGTACACAAAAGGAATGGCAGACCAGCCATACAGAGTGAGGATAAGCAGAGTTTCCCAAAAGTGGTAATCATTGACATAAATATACAATTTGTAGTATGTTAACAGTCCCTGCAACACACAGGGTATAGAGATAAAGATAAGATGAAGGGAAAGTGCAAAAGACAATCAAGTCCAAACATATAAAGAAGGAAATAGCAAGTCTTACCTTTATTTAGTACAAATAGTGTTAAGTCAATCTGCCTCCTTTTTAACTTTATCCTATGAGCATGAAGTAAGTTATTTACACATCTTCTTCACCAGAGGACATTACAGTGAGTAGAACCACTATGCTTCCCCTTATTTTTTTTCTACTTGGAGCAGTTACCCCAATAATCCTGTCAAGTTTCAGCAGATTATTTCTCTAAAGAGACTCTTTCTTTCTTTCTTTCTTTTCCTCCCTTCCTCCCTCCCTCCCTCTCTCCCTCTCTCCCTTTTTTGAGACAGAATCTCACTCTGTTGCCCAGGCTAGAGTGCCTTGGCATCAGCATAGCTCACAGCAACATCAAACTCCTGGGCTGAAGCAATCCTCCTGCCTCAGCCTCCTGAGTAGCTGGGACGAGAGAAGGCACGTACCACCACACCCAGCTAATTTTTCTATTTTTAGTAGAGATGGGGTCTTACTCTTGTTCAGGCTGCTCTCAAACTCCTAAGCTCATGTGATCCTCCTGCCTTGGCCTCCCAGAGTGCTAGGATTACATGCGTGAGCCACCGCGCCCAGCCAGGAGACACTATTTTTCTAAAAATATTTTCTCTGACTACATACCTATCACTGCTATCCACCTTTAAATTGGGCCTCCTGCTTCTAGTCTACTCTCCCACTTCTCTTATAACCACCTAAACCATTCTGAGGCCCTTCTTAAATTTTTATAATTCAAATAGAAAATTAGGCAGTGGAGTACAGAATAAGAGGGACCTAAATTAGAATGAATGGTGGTGGTAGAGAGAAAACTGTAGTGGTTAAAGGAAATAAATTTCTGGAAATCTGTATCTCATTAGTTAGTAATTATAGTTTTTGCACAAATGGTAGGGTTGTTCCTTTGGGAAATTACATAATTATGTAGAAGCTTAATCTTACTGTTTACTTCTTGGTGGTCCTGGTAAGTTAAGAATAGTCATTATACTGATGACTGATATTCTTGGTGGTGGTAGCAAAAGCAATAGAGATTAGTAGATAATAGTTAAATCCAATATCTATAGCTATGATTATTTTGTATTATTTATTTTTCTTTGCTTTGCTTTCTGTACCAATGATCTTTGAATTGTTTTTAAATATATTGTAAACTTAAACACAATAAAGCAATCCAATGAAATTTGGGGCAACACAGGAATCTCTGTGTTTGAAGTCTTATAATCCTTCAGTGTCATGCTTTCCTGGTCACCAGGATAAGGGATGGATTTTTTACAATGTTTTGATAATTTTTTTAGTGTTTACACAAAAAATGCTGTGATCATTGTCTCTTTTGTGTATCTACTGTATGTTTTTTTCTTTGTGGATACTACTAGATTTGCCATTAAACCTCTTATAACAGTCTATTTTAAGCTGGTAACTTAAATTGCATATGAGTGCTCTACACTTTTATTTCTCCCTCCACTTTGTTATTAATGTGTTTACTATTAAAATATTCTGTATTCCTTAACAAATTTGTGGTTATATTTCTTATTACTTTTGTCTTTAACTTTTATAATAGAGTTAAAAGTGATTTATGCACCATTGTTAGTTTTAAGATATTCTGGGTTTGTCTACATATTTATTTATGTTTACAGTGAGATTTATACTTCCATATGCTTTTTCATTGCCATTTAGTGTTTACTCATTCCAACTTGAAAAACTCCCATTTCATTTTTTAAAATTTCAGAATATTACAGGAGTAAACACGTTTGGTTACACGAGTTGCTTTGTACAGTTTAAGTTATAAGTGTGCCCATCACCCAGATAGTGTGCATTGTACCCATTAGGTGTGAATTTACTTGCCCCCCAACCTGCTTGGTTTCTGTTACGTTTTACTTCCATATGTGCTCACGAGTGTTCATTAGTTCTAATTTAATAGTGGGTACATGCAGTGTTGTTTTTCCATTCCTGCAATACTTCACTTAGAAGAATGGCCTCCAGTTCCATCCAAGTTGTTACAAAAGGTATTATTTCACCATTTTTTACGGCTGAGTAGTACTCCATGGTATACATATACCACATTTTATCAATCTACTTGTGTAGAGATGGGCTCCTGGGTTGATTCCACATCTTTGTGATTGTGAATTGTGCTGCAATAAACATTCGAATGCAAGTGGCTTTTTGATAAAATGACTTCTTTTTCCTTTGAGTAAATCGCTAGTAGTGGGATTGCCAGATCAAATGGTAGGTCTACTTTTAGCTCTTTGAGAAATTTCCATACTATTAATACTTTCCATAGAGGTTATACTAGTTTGCAGTCCCACCAGCAGTGTGTAAGTGTTCCTTTCTCTCCACATACACACCAGCATAGATGGGACATGCCTCAAGGCCATATTCAATAAACCCACAGCCAATATCATACTGAATGGGGAAAAATGGAAAGCATTCCCACTTAGAACTTGAACAAGGCAAGGTTGCCCACTATCTCCACTTCTATTCAACATAATGCTGGAAGTCCTTGCCAGAATAATCAGAGAAGAGATTAGAATTAAAGGTGTCCAAATGGGGGCAGAAGAGGTCAAACTCTCTTTGCTGATGATATTATATCTAGAACATCCCAAGGATTCAACCAAGAGACTCCTGGAATGGATAAATGAATCCAATAAGGTCTCAGGATACAAAATTAATGCACACAAATCAGTGGCATTCATATACACCAATAACAGTAAAGCCACAACTTTCACAAAAGCATCAAATAAAATTAAATATTTAGGAATATATTTAATGAAAGAGGTGAGAAACCTATGTAGGGAGAAATACAAAACATTGAGAAAAGAAATTGTAGAATATGTAAACAGATGGAAAACTCTACCATGCTCATGGATTGGCATAATCAATATTGTTAAAATGTCCATACTACCTAAAGTGATCTGCAGAATTAATGTAATCCCTATCAAAATACCATCATTTTTTATAGATCTAGAAAAAATAATTCTATATGTCATATAGGTGAGGCAAAGGCATTATATGTAACCAAAATATTTGTACCCTCATAATATTCTGGAAAAAAAAAAAAAAGGAAGACTCAAGTTGGGACCCCAATCCCTTCTGATTTACAATATTTCTGTTGAGAAGTCTGCTGTTGGTCTTATGGGTTTTCCTTTGTAAATTAAGTTGATGCTTTTTTTCTTACAGCTTATAGATTTTCTCCTTCACTTTAACTTTGGCCAGATTCATGACTATGTGCTTTGGTGATGTCCTATTTGAAATGAATCTTTCAAGAGTTTATTGACCTTTTTGTATATGAATGTCTAAGTCTCAAGCAAGACCAGGAAAATTTCCTTCATTATTCCCTCAAATATGTTTTTCATGCTTTTTTGCTTTATATTCTTCTCTCTCAGGGATACCTATTGTTATTAGGTTTGAATGTTTTATATAATCCCATATTTTTCAGAGATTTTTGTTCATTTCTCTGGATTCTTTTGTATTTTTGACTGAGTTATTTTGAAAACCTTGTCTTCAACTCTGAGATTATTTTTTCTGCTTGGTTTAGTCTATTGTTAAGACCCCTTGTATTTTCAAATTCCCTAAATGACCCTCTCAATTCCAGAAGTTCTGTTATTTTTAATTAATTAAAAATTATCTATTTCTTTAGTGAATTTTTCATTCAGGTCCTGATTACATTTTTGGTTTGTGTTGGTTTTCAACTTTCTCATGATTTCCATTGAGCTTACTTGCAATGTGTATTTTGAATTCCACACCTGACATTTCAAAAATTTCCTTTTGGTTGGAGTCCATTGCTGGAGAGTTAGCATGATCCTTTGTGGGTATTCAGAGAGCCTGTTTTTTTCCTATTGCCAGAGTTCTTATGCTGGTTCCTTCTCACCTGGAACCTCTTCCCTACGCTCAAAAAAGATGGCCTTGTACCTCTTCTCTTCTGCTGTGAACTCTACTGCTCAGCATAGAGAGGAGAGGCACACTGCCTTTCGGCTTGTGCAGATATGTTCTCACTGTGGTGTTGCTGGAAGTTTGTGTTGGTTGGACATTAGACCCTTGGTAGACTGTTTAGGTGCTGGGTGGACTAGGTTAGGTAATCCCCAGATATAAGGCCCTGGATGGCATGCTTGTGCTCTGGGGACCAGACTCAGAGTAGGCTGGAAAATTTTCCTCCAGCTTCCCTGAGTTCGGGCACTGGCTGTGATAGTGAGGGATGAGGTGATCTGCTCCAGAAGAATTCTCAGGCAGGAGAAGGGCAGATACACTGTGAGCTTGTGACAAGAGTGGGTGGCCCCTCTTGACAAGATTGGCAGAGGTAGGCAGCTGTGGTGCACACATGCTACTCACACCTCCCTCATCAATGACCATGATTTCTCTCCATGAGGGGCACCCCAGATTCCCAGCTCCTACCTTGACTCAGCTGTATCCGAGGTGGTGGGGGCATCTCAACCTGCTGTGTGTAGGGCAACCAGTCTTGTTGTGGGCTGTGGCTGAAATGCTCTGGCAGGGGATGTGTTTGTGCCAGGGACCTGCTAAATCCAGTGATTTAGAGACCCAGGGGCTATTCCTGGGTTGAGACAGCTGCAAAAACACAGCCAATCAATGAAGGGAGAAAAATGAGCTACACCAACTGTGTAGAATATGGGTGCAGTGAGCAGAGTACTACTGGGGAGGTATCCCACCCACCAGGCTAGAACTGGTTGTCCTATAGCTCACCCACACCAAAAGCTTGTGCTTGAGAGCAGAGGTGGCTATGCCTGCAGCATCAAGTGGTTGAAGGAGGGGAGGTTCTCATCTCCACATCTCCTCCCAGGCTGCCCAGCTTTAAACTCCCAAGATGGCACATTGGGCATGTCACCATAGATGGTGGGGCCTCTTCTAGTCAGTGTGGGCAAGATGCTGGATGCTGTGCTATCTGCTCCTGTCTTGGTCTCACTGCAGCTTGTAGCACAGTGGTGGGAACTATTCTAGTAGGAGTAGGTAGGAGAAGTTTGAACTCCCCTCCACCTCCTCAGCTGGGCAGCCCTGCAATAGCTCAAATTCAGCCCAAAGGTGGGGCACTGCCTAGCTTTAAACTCTCCAGTGAGGCTTCTTCCAGGCAAACAGTGTGGGCAAGTTTCTGAGTGGATCATCACCTGCTTGCATCTCAGTCTCTGCAGTCTGTACCAGGCTGGTATGAATTGTCCTAGTTGTGTGTAGGAGAGCATAGGCTCCCTTGTTCCTCCTCAGCTGGGTGGAGTTGTGTCAGCCCAAATTCAGCCTGAGGGATGGGTGCTGTCCAGCTTCCAACTCCCGTAGTGGTACCCTGGGCTTGTGGCCAGAGAGGGTGGGGCCCTTCTCAGGCAGGCTGCGCTGGCAGGACACTGTGGGGAGTGAAGTTTGCTTGAGACCGGGTCCCACAGCAGCTAGCTGTAGGATGGTGGGCACCGTCCCAGACATGTGCTGGAAAGTTGGGTGTCCCTGCCCACTCACCAGCCATGTAAGGGCTGCTGCTATGTCAACCCAATGGACAGGGCACTGCCCAATATGAAATTCACAAAATGGAACTTGGACCTGTGACAGCAAAGGCTGGGGGCCCTACCCAGGCAGTCAGCATGGAAAAGAAACTATGGAAAATGCTTTCTGTATACATCTCTGTCTCACCTAAAGCCCACAACAGGGCAGTGGACACCTTCCCAGGGGTGTGTGGGATCACCTGGGCGTCTCTCTTTCTCTCTCTCTCCTCAGAGCTGTGCTGTGGCTGCAGGTGCATCTGTGGTTCCCAGGGCTCTGGGCTCTCAGCATGGCGCTGAGCATAAGCTGCTGTAGGTTCTGACGCCCATGGGATTCCACACAAGTTCCCTTTCTGAAATAATATCTCTGTGCATTCTCCAAGCAGCTCCCTATGTTAGGCCCAAGACCTGTGTGGGTTGTGGGGTTCTCTTGTAGCCACGATTGTAAAAGCTCATCTTGGAGAAGCCCTGGGGGCTTCTCTGTTACTGTTTTCCCACATCTAAGAGCTTCTCTCAGCTGTCAGCCAGGCCCTGGCTGGGCAAGTTGCCCCGAATTCTCTCCTTACCCACTTTTTTGGTGCTTCCCATTTGGTTCTCTGGTGAATACTAGCATTCTCTTCCAGACAATCTGTCCAAAATGTGAGAATCTTCTGACTCTTCTGATTTCTCTCCATGGAGGAGGCATGGACTGCCCACATCCAGTCGGCTACCTTGATCCTATCCCTGTATAGTAATTTTAATGTTCTGCTGAATTCAGTTTGCAAGCATTTTGTTGAGGATTTGTACATGCATGTTCATCAGAGATACTGACTTGTGATTTTCTTTTATGTCATAGTCCGGCCTTAGTATTGGGATTATGCTAGCTTCATAACTGAGTTTGTGAGAATACATATTCCTTTTATGTAGTATTAGAGTGTGTACCAAAATCTGACCAATTTTTAATTGCTTTCAAATGATTAAAATCATTCATTCCCTCTCCGGCCATATTACATTAAGCTATGAGCCACAAAGATAACAAGAATATCCTTAATCATGTAGTAAATAATACCCTTCTAAAATTTCACATTTTAAAAAATCTGGAAATATTTTTAATATGACACATAAAACCTTTGGAAATGCAGCTAGAACAATGATGTGAAGACTTGGGAATGATCTGATTGATTCAAATTCTCTCAATATATGTGTGTATTGCGTCAGTTGGCAGGGAATGGTGGAAGGAATATAATGGTGCCATAAGCAATGTTCCTTCACTTCTGTAGTTCTTGTGGTGACAGACATGATTAGTGGCCCACAAAAGGGACAGAGGTTTGCTCTTGCTATGCTGCCTGGGTAAATTATGAGCAGAGGAGTATGGCATAAATTTCACTGGCCACAGTGAATGACACATGAGCAATATAGAAGATGTGCATAGAGAAAATTTTGAGCAGTTTACTAACCTGGGTATCTCTGTACTAATAGATACTAACTTGGGTATTTCTGTTCCAAAGTTTCTCTCCATATTACCAACAACAACCCTCTCCCTACCACTTCTAGCATGAAGGTCCTTGACCACAGAGCAGTGTGTAACAATATGTAGGATGTATTAATATAGAGAGAGAACTTTCTGATGTCTTTCGAACTTGGGATAAGAATGTTTACCTATTTATTTTCATTTCAAAAGTAGCATATATACATAGAGAATTCAGGCCAACATGTCCACACACACGTACACTCACACACAAAATTTTGAGGGTACACTGCATAGAACGTAAATAAATTATCCCAAGGACTTTTAAGAACAAAGGGAACGGCTGGGCATAGTAGCTCATGCCTATAATCCTAGCACTCTGGGAGGCCGAGGCAGGCGGATTGCTCAAGGTCAGGAGTTTGAAACCAGCCTGAGCAAAAGTGAGACCCTGTCTCTACTAAAAATAGAAAGAAATTAATTGGCCAACTAAAAATACATAGCAAAAAAATTAGCCAGGTGTGGTGGTGCATGCCTGTAGTCCCAGCTACTCAGGAGGCTGAGGCAGGAGGATCGCTTGAGCCCAGGAGTTTGAGGTTGCACTGAGCTAGGCTGACGCCATGGCACTCTAGCCTGGGCAACAGAGTGAGACTCTGTCTCAAAAAAAAAAAAACAAAGGGAACAAGGAGAAGAAGGAAACAATAAAAAAAGTGGGAAAAAAAATCAGGAGATGACTAGAAAGGAAGGTATAAAGGAGATAAAGCACTTTTTCTGGTTCATTGTATAGGTTGGATTGGAAAATGGCAGTACACACTTTTATGGTAAAACTATAGCATATTTTGCTATAAATTGTTTTATTTTCATGGTTAGCTTGTGTCTTTATGAAACAATAAACTACTTGAGAGATGAGTCACATTCTTATTAATGATTAATTAAATTATTAGTATCTACCATTAGGAAAGAAACTTGCCCCCACCCCAGTGGTTTTGCCTCGATGTACACCATACCTACTTTTCATATTTACCACTGTTCACCACCTTCAAAGTGTGCATATCCACACACCCCCAACACAAACACACAAAGGCACACTGACACACACAAACACACCAAAAGGAAGAAATTTTTAACCTGACTGAGCAGTTTTCTGGAACATACACGAGGCCACATTTTACTAGAGAACAAGGAGGTATGCACTCATATACATTTTACTCTTTGTTCTAATCCCCCACTGACAGAAATTGCATGGGTATAAATTTGGAGTGAATAAAAACAATGAACCTCCCTTAACCCTCCAATCTATGATGAGGTCTTCAAAGCACTTATACCTGTGAAGTTCAGGATTGGAAATTACTGGGCACTAGTATAGTGATCTTACACATAGCTTCTTTGGATAGGAATGCCAATAGGAGAACCAGGAGATAGGATTTAAACAAACTACACACTAAATCCCAGGATAGTGGCTGTATGATAGCAGGTGTTTGATAAAAATTTTAAAATAAACTGATAGAAACTTGAAGGGAAACTAAAAATGTTGGCAACAGTATCTCCTGAAGTACTATTAGAGCACCGGTCCCCAACCTTTGGGCATCAGGGACCGGTTTCACGGAATACAATTTTTCCACGGACATGGGGTGGAGGAGGTGGGGACTGGGGGTGGAGCTCAGGTAGGGATGCATGGCCCTGTTTTCCTAACAGGCCATGGACGGGTACCAGGCCACAGCCCGGGGTTTGGGGACCACAGTATTAGAGGACACAACTAAGCAAGACTGGGTAGTATGAGACGTATGTAAGAACATGTCTCAGTTTTGGGATGTCAGCATAAGTTGATGAGAAAATAAATGGGGAATTAGTCTGTGAGAGGTCTTTGTGTTGTTCCAAAGAAACTATTCTCTTTTAATTAAGAACAAGGGAGAAAAAGTTTCTACCATGAGACTTTTGCAATGTGTCTTCCACACTAATGAGAAAAGATAGTTTACTGACATAGCTAGGTTGATGAAAACATTAGACTAGGAATTTTCCATGGGGTATAAAAGGAAAATAAACTCTTGAGGAATTTCATCTAATGCTCACCATTAATAAGCAGGAGGAAATGAAGAAGATGATATAATCCCACAGTAGAGCAGAAAGCCAGTATGCAAAGACAGAGACCCCACTCAGAAACTGGATGCTCTTTGCTTTAGTGGCTCTCTCAGTCACTGTCAGGATACAAAATCCACTGACCAAAAGAGACATGCCAAACTGTAAATCCAGAGCCACCTGTCGCCCATCCTTTGTCCTACAGAGGGAGGAATAAAAGAAGATATATCAGAGAAATCAACAGATCAGAAAAGACAGATTTCTATCAATATATATTTTCTGTTATATATATGTGATCAAATAGGGTGGGAAGATTGTATTTAAAGTGTAAAACTCAATTATGATAAAAAAAAACAATTACATACTCTTTATCGTCTATACTGTCATCAGGGAGTGGCTGAGGTTTATTGGAGACTGTTATGGAAGCCTCCTCGCCAGCAAGAAACCTGAAAAGAACGTTGTCTACCACTGACAGGGAAATAGATGGTGAATGGAGTGCTTCATTGTTGAACAGAAAAGTTAATATTGTTCGATTTTCATACACCACCACGGAAAATGCAACAATACATATATTAATACAATCTTTACTTTTCCTCAAGTAACTCAGTAAGTCACCTAGGATGAAAAAAAATATTGGTCAGTTGCATCCACAATACAGATCACCTACAATATACGGCAGGGAAGAGGAATAAATAATTTTACTTCTCACCCCTTTCAATTTTCCTATAATGATTATTTCAAACATTTGGTTTTCTCCTCCAGCACTTTATTCCATCATTAAATTTCATGCTCTCTCACTTCATAGTCTATAACCTAAACTAGCACTTCATTGAGAAAACATAGACTCTCTCAACTTACTTATCTGTCTTAAACTGATTTATGACTATTTTCCACTTATGACTTTGATTGCTTATTTTTACAGCAGACAAAACCTTTTGGAAAGCAGAAAAGCTGGATAAAAATATTTAAAAATAACCTCTATGAGAGTATTAGAAACCTAGGAAAGCAATCAAAATTTGCAGGCCAAGACCTTGAGAAGAATGGAAATGCATTGAGATGAGTCCAACATTCTATACCATTTTCTTTCAGGACTTTATAAATTCCTAAATGGTAGAGGTACCTTGGTAGTTTCTCCAGCTCTGAGGCCCCCAAAGGGATATATACGAGCAGTAATAGAGTATGAGTAAGAAATAGAACAATTCTTTATTCTTGACATTGGGTCTTGCTATGTTGCCCAGGCTGGAGTGCAGTGGCTATTCACAGATGCTGTCATGGTGCACTACAACCTCAAACTCCTGGACTCAAGCAATCCTCCCATCTCAGCTTTCTGAGGGGCTGGGACTACAGGCCCACACCACTACCCAGCTTAATAGACCAATTCTTATACAAATTTCAACGCAGCCTCAAATTACATCAATACATGATTGGATTTAGATCTCTCCTTAAGCTTGCTGTCTGCCAGAAGTGAAACCTTCTTTGGAGAAGATAATTTCATGCAGAATCTTTATAATTTTCATACACAATATCTGGCATTGAATTAAAAAATTATCAAGTATACCAAGAAACAGAACTCAAGAGAAAGCACAGACAATAGAAACAGATCCACAGATGAGCTGGGTATTAGAGAATTTACCCGAGAACTGGAGTCCTTAGAAATAATAAAATGTTGATTTTAGAATTAAAAAACACATGAATTACAATTAATAATTTAATATATAACTCATAGTAGGTTGAACACAAATGAAGAATAGTAGATCAGGGAACTGGAAGACAAGTGATTAGAATGTCCAGTTAAAAACACAGAGAAAAAGAGGATGAAAAACAAGAGAGAAAACATAAATTGCCAATATTAGGAATAAAACAGAAAAAAATCACTACCCATCCTGCAGACATCAAAAGGAAAACAAAGGAATGCTATGAACACATGATAGTTAATTGTATGTGTCAACTTGACTGGGTTAAAAGATACCCTGATAGCTGGTAAAACGTTATTTTAGGGTGCGTCTTTGAGGGTATTTGCAGAAGAGATTAGCATTTGAATCAGTAGACTGAGTGAAGAAGATCTACCCTCATCAATGTGTGTGGCCATCATCCAATTAACTGAGGGCCCAAATGGGACAAAGAGGTGAAGGAAGGGCAATTTTCTTTCTCTCTTCTTGAGGGAAAATGAGCCATCCATTTCCTCCTTCCCTTAGACATCAACACTCCTGGTTCTCAGGCTTTTGGACTCTGGGCACCAGTGGTTTCCAGACTTTTGGAATGAAACTGAATTCCTGGCTCTCCTGGTTCTCCTGCTTGCAGACAGCACATTGTGAGACTTCACAGCCCCCATAATCATATGAGGCAATTCCCATAATGAATCTCCTTTTATAAATATTTATATATACCCTATTGGTTCTGTTTCTCTGGAGAACTCTGACTATACAACACATAAATTTGATAACTTAGATGAAATGGACCATTTCTTCAAAACACAAACTACAACAACTCACCCAATATGAAACAGGTCATTCAAATAACTGTAACTATTAAAAAAATGTAATTCTCAACTTTAAAAAGTTCTCAAAAAAGATATCTCAAGGCCCAAATGTTTTCACTGGTGAATCCTATCAAATGTTTAAAGAAGAATAAGCACTAATTTATACACAATATATTCTAGGAAACAGAAGAGGGAACATTTCTAATTCATTTTATGAAGCTCGTGTTACCTGACAGAGTAAAACTATACAAAGATACTATAACAAAGAAAAACTATAGACCAATATCCTTCATTAATATAGATGTAAAATTCTTTAACAAGTAGAATTCAGCAATGTATAAAAAAATTATTCACCATTACTGACTGGGATCTATTTCAGGGATACATGGCTGCTTCAACATTCGAATATGTACAAATTTTACTTACTGTATTAAGAGGCTAACAAAGAAAGATCACAAAATTGTACAAATCTATGGAGAAAAATACTTTTGAGAAAGATCAACACCCATTCATAATAAAAACTCTGAGGAAAATAGGGATAAGGTAGAACTTCCTTAACTTTATAGAGAGCAGCTAAAAAAAATCCTTACAGTTAACATTGCACTTAGTAGAGAAGGACTGCACACTTTTCCTCCCTAAAATTGGGAACAAGGAAAAATGTCTACTCTCACCACTCTGAATAACCTAGTGATGGAAATTGTATCCAGTGTTATAAAGCATACATAGGAAATAAAAGGCACAGAGATCCCAAAGAAAGAAATAAAACTGCTTTTATGTGCAGATAACATGATTGTCTACATAGAAAATTACACAAGGAACCAACAAGAAAAAATTCTGGAACTAACAAGTTCATCAAAGTTGTAGGATACAAGATGAACATGTAAGAATAAAAATTGCAATTTTATATACTAGAATAAGCATATGGACACTGAAATGTAAAGTATAATATTTATATTCACTCTATGTGACCATAAATATGTAATATGTATATGTAAGTATAAATATGTAACATACATAAGTATAAATCAAACAAAATATATATAGGACTTGTATGCTGAAAACTACACAGCACTGATGAAAGAAATCAAAGAAGTCCTAAATAAAGGGTGGGACATAGAGTGCTCATGGATTGAAAGATTCAGGATAGTAAAGATGACAATTCTCCTCAAACTAATATATAGATTTAAATCCAGCTTGTAACAAATTCCAAGTTTTGTTAATCTACCAGCTTTCAAGGGTGGCACTGATAAAGGAATAGATACACAGATTAAGGAAATAGAGAACCTGAAAATAGACCCAAAGATGCCCAACTCATTTTTGAAAGGTACACAATGATTAAATGGATATCACCATTCAATAAATGGAGCAACTACTGCTGGAGCAATTAGACATCCATAGCTATAAATAAAAAACCAGATATAAATCATCCTCATATTGTCATCTAATCTTTGACAAAGCAGACAAAAATATACAATGGGGTAAAGAATCCTTATTCAATAAATAGTGCTGGGAAAATTGCATAGCCACATGTATAAGGCTGAAACAGGATCCATGCCTCTTACCTCTCAATGCAAATTAATTCACAATGGATAACAGACTTAAACCTAAGGCATGAAACTATAAGAATTCTAGAAGAAAATGCTGGAAAAACTCTTAAAAGATATCAGCCTAGGCAAAAAATTTATGAAGAAGACCCCCAAAGCAATCATGGCAACAACAAAAATAAACAGATGGGACCTGATCAAATAAAAAAGATTCTGCCCAGCCAAGGACACAGTCAATAGAGCAAATAGACAACCTACATTATGGGAGAAAATATTTGCATGCTCATACATCTGATAAGAAGCTGATAAACAGAATCTACACAGAACTCAAGAAAAACAGCAAGAAAAATCAAACAACTCCATTAAAAAGTGGGCAAAAGACATGAACAGAAACTTTTCAAAAGAAGATAGACTAATGGCCAGAATGAAAAAATGCTCAATGTCTCTATTCATCAAAGAAATGCCAATCAAAACCACAATGAGATATCACCTAACTCCAGTTAGAATGACTTATCAAAAAGTCCCAAAACAACACTTGTTGGCAAGGATGAGGAGATAAAGGTATACTTATACACTGTTGGTGGAACTGCAAACTAGTACAACCACTAATGGAAAGTAGTATAGTGATACCTTGAACAATGAAAAGTAGCACGACCATTTGATCCTGCAAATCCCACTACTAGGCATTGACTCAGAGGAAAAAAAGACATTTCATTAAAAAGACAATTATGCTCAAACGTTTACAGCGGCACAATTCACAATCGCAAAGATGTGAAATCAACCCAAATGCCCATGAATACATGAGTGGGTTAATAAAATGTAGTATGCGTATACCATGGAGCACTACTCAGCCGTACAAAATGGTGATCTAGTATCCTTTTTAACAACCTGGATGGAACTGGAGGCCATTCTTCTAAGTGAAGTATCGTAAGAATGGAAAAACAAACACCACATGTACTCAATACTAAATTGGAATCAATTGATCAACACTTCCATTCACATATGAAAGTAAAATTCAAAGAAAATCAAGTAGGTGGGAGAGGGGAGGAGGGCATAGGTAAATTTACACCTAACAGGTACCACACACACTAGCTGGGTTAAGGGTACACTTATAACTTCAACTGAAACTGTATAAAAGCAAATTATGTAACCAAAATGTATGTACCCCCATAAAATTCTAAACAAAATAAAATGAGAGAGAGAGAGAATGAATAAGTTCCTGTCTCTTCCTCTTCCCAACCTCATGACCTCATCTAAGCCCAATTACCTCCCAAAGACCCTGCCTCTAAATACCATTACATGGAGGGTTAGGACTCAATGCAACATGATTTTGGAGGGACACAAGCAGATGGAAGTGTTTTGTATCTTGAGTATATCCATGTCAATATCCTGTTTGTAATACGGTACTATAGTTCTGCAAGATGTTACCATTAGTACCTTGGATCTCTTAATGTTATTTTTCACAACTGTCTATCTAAAATTATTTGGAATGAAAATTTAATTTAAAAAAATCAAACTCAATGTTACTGGTTCTTACTCTCCTCAACATCTAAAGAAAAAATAATTTATTATGACAGAGAAACAAATCTCTTTAGTCCACTTCTGATAAATCTTTTGTACCTATCATTTTCCCTTCAGCTCTACTATTTTGTTTTAGGCCCCTCTTCTCTTTTGCCTAGACTATCACAATTATAGTGCAGCTGACTTTTTTGACTCTAGTATCTTCTCTTTTCAAATTTTCTCCTATACTCAACTCCATTTGGTAAGGTTATATCTAATTTTATGCTTATTCTGTGCCAGGAATTGAATTAGGTTAGTGACATAAAGGAAGTTTTTGTCTTCCCACAATCTAGTTTGAGAGACAGATAAAAAATGTACATTTGAACTGAATTGTAATTCAATGTGATAAATTCTCCCAAAGAGGCATGCATCTAAATTATGAAAGAAAAGGAAATATTTAGTTCTGTTGGGGAAAGTACGTGGCATTTTATCAGTTATTGAGATAGAATACCTTTCTAAAGCTCAATGTCCATTTATTTCATCACTTTGTGTAAAAAGTGGATAGCAATTTCCTCTGTGCTAATGCATATAGTATTTAAGGAAAAAATTATAGATGAGAAATTACCTAGAACCTTATTTTCTCATTGGGAAACATTTTCCTATAGTTTGGGAAAAAGAGCGAGCAAGTTCTAAAGCATTTCTTGCCCTTTTTTTTTTACCTTAAAAATAAGGTGGCCGGGCGCTGTGGCTCACATCTGTAATCCTAGCTCTCTGGGAGGCCGAGGCGGGCGGATTGCTCGAGGTCGGGAGTTCAAAACCAGCCTGAGCAAGAGCGAGACCCCGTCTCTACTATAAATAGAAAGAAACTAATTGGCCAACTAATATATATAGAAAAAATTAGCCGGGCATGGTGGCTCATGCCTGTAGTCCCAGCTACTTGGGAGGCTGAGGCAAAAGGATTGCTTGAGCCCAGGAGTTTGAGGTTGCTGTGAGCTAGGCTGACGCCACAGCACTCACTCTAGCCTAGGCAACAAAGCGAGACTCTGTCTCAAAAAAAAAAAAAAAAATAAGGTTTAAAAAGGCATACAATTTGGAATAGATAAGCCATATAAAATTAGTAGGATGCAATTATAAAAGGTTCTGTAGTTAGGATAATTAAAGCAAAACTTAAATTTAAAATGTAAGTTTCTTAAAGCAAACCTGACTGGCTGAGCCTAAAGAATATCTCTCTATGCTTAGAAAAGTTTTAGCAATGAACAGATAACATTTTATTGAAAATAGATATTGATCATGGGGCTTCTGTATTATTCTGTAATTTTAGTCATGTTATAATAAAGCATATTCAGTTAATAATTTTACATTTTTAAATTCATAAACGGTAGACTGCAATACAAAAATAATCATTTTATGATCAGGACAGTTCCTTTATCCTCTTTCTTTATAGCGTGGACCTTGGTTAAAAAATGCTCATCTATTATTCTTGCAAGGGAGGAGAAACAGGGATAAATAATTATAATCAGCCAATCTATTATTTGTAGGTTGTTGAATCAAGATCATATTGATAAGAACAATCAACACTTCCAAATGTATTTTCATCCCTCACAACAAAACCTGAAGGAGAGAAAGAAAATAAAATCAGGCTTCCTACCCTTGCAGGCTCTTTGCTAACTTTAAGGAACATGGTCCATTAGGTGGCAGTTAAAGGAAAAAAATCCAGCATCTGGGAGGAAATAATTACACTTGAAAGACAGCAGACTTTATGTTCAGGGAGGTAATATGGCACATGAGTGGTAAGTTTTTAGATGCGAGGCAGATAAGGTTAAATTCAAGTCTCTGTATTTGCCAGATGTCCGATTTGGGGAAAATTACTTGAATTTCTCAAATATCAATGCTCCTCATTTTACTGAGGGTAATAAAGTACCTACCAAATGGGATGAGTACTCAGATTAAGTGACAGGCAGGTAGTGGTTGGCAGGGCTTTTAAAAAATGCTCAGTAAATGTAAACTATTATTATTACTGTCTTAAAAATAAATGTGTTTTTAGGAGCTACCCGACTAAGACTTCAGTATTCCTGTTTTAGATATGACCAGTCTAGAAGACTGAAGAATAGCTTGCAGGACACGGGACCACCGTTCCATGCATGAGATACACTACATTCTGGCCAGCACCTTTTAAACACTTCATTCTTAATTTTTCAGTAAAAGTATTTTGGCACTTTTGTTTTTGTTTTTTTTTTTTACTTGTAAGGAACAATAAATGCCTTGTAGACAATCCACAGCCAAAGTGCCTACAGTAATAATTAACTTTGGAGACTAGTCGCTTTTAAAAGAGGCTATTCCTTGACTTTAATTTAATGGCTTCTAAGATACTGGTAACATGCAGGAGAAGAATGGAGCAGGTAGCCAAATACTATAGTTAAGATCCTTCTTTGAAGTAACAAGCAGATCATCTCTAAGAGCAGCCTTTTTTTCTTTTTTTCCTAATGAGCCTTACCTTGCACATTATTAATTCTTTGCTTCTTCGACTTTAGAATACTCTCAAAGTGTTTAAAGAACAATGTAGCCAAAGCAGAATTTTCAGTAACAAAAATAGGCACAACGCTAGTACCATATTCACTTAACTCCATCTGCCTGGTACCGTGTTCACGTGAAAAGCTAGTAGAAGTAATGAGTAAGGCAGAGGAACATAAAAGTCCCAGTATCTGTAGCAAAACCAGTTTCCAGTTGCGCCAACTGAACAGCACCCTCTTTAGGAACATGGCATGGAACTGCTGGTTACAGAGAGAACACTAAAGAAAGAAGAGAGGAACATACCATTACAATAGTCATAAACAGGTCATTCATGTTGAAATTCATGCTTTGAAATTTTATGGTATGAACATATAAAAGTGTTATAGTATAAACACATAGTTTATATAAATAAATACTTGGAACAGAACATAACCATTGTATGACAGTGCATAATAATACGATCCTTTGTATAAGGCAGAGGTCAACAAACTAAGGCCTGACTTTGTAAATAATGTTTTATTGGAACACAGATATGCCCATTTATTTCTGTATCGCCATGGTTGTTTTTGTGCTCTAATGACAGAGTTGAGTAATTATGACAGAGACTAGACAGCCCACATGCCTTCAATATTTGTTATCTATTCACACAAGGTTTGCTGACCTTTGCTATTATTAAATAAAATGTTTAAGGCTTGGCTTTAGATATGACAAACAAAATCTCAAAAGGATGATTTTCCTCAGACTCCTAACAGCAAAGAAAATTGCTTCTTTCTTTGCAGAAGAAATATGTAATCAGAAGGAGAATGGAAGAAATATTTGGCAACTCAAAGAGACTACCCATGCAGAAAAAATCATACTGAATAGGGAATGATCCCTTATGCAGTAACAATTTCCACTGCAAAAACTTAAAATATTTAAAAAGTATTGTGCACACTTTATTTTTTTTTATTTTATTTTTTTTAACATTCCTGGTATAACTGGACGTGCACACTTTATTACTAAAAATCAGGTTCACCAGTATGCTTACTCTGGCTTCAATAAACCAACAAATTTTGGGGTTACTACTTTGGAAAAAATATATATATTCTGAGACAGGAAAAAAAAGAACTAAGAAATAACAATGGTAAAAGTAAACAGCTTATATCTTTATCTGGAACTCATCACATCTGCATTAGAAAATTAATTATTAGGTTGTGGTCCAGACTGCTTCCCATCTGGTTGACAAAATGTGCTTTTGCATTCCAACCAAGTATACACTGTGTTTTTTAGTAAAGGTGCTCACCCCAGCATTAAACTTAACAGGAGGGCTTTGATTTTTGGAGGCAGAATCTGCGTTCTCAACATTTCTTGACACATTTATATTCTGACTTCCAATAGAGGCTTTGCTCATCTTGATGGGAAGCTGCACAGATTCTGTATCTCTGATTGACTCTTCCGTCTGGCTGACCCTATATTTAAAAAAATGTACAAAGCATTTTATTTCAACTTTATCCCAATATATCTTGTTTGGAGAACATGAGTTGCAACCCCCAACTCAGACGGCTCCTTGGTTTGCTCATTGGTTGGCAGGAACATTATTTGGAGGCAACATGGTTAACTATTATTTTAATAGAACAATGGCTCCCAAATAGCCCCCATTGCCCTTACATTTCTTTTTTTTTTTCCAAGTAATAACTTTATTGTAGTTTACAGCACAATTTTTACATATATTTTAGTGGTTTCGACAGTGTTACTTTTGAGCAGACTTTAAATGAATCCACAAAAAGTTAATATATTAAAAATAAAATATACACAGTAATACAACAAGCATCCAGATGTTCAGAATTGTGTAGACAGGGGTGAGCTGGTTGGTGTTGTCACTGGGTTCCTTGCCTATTTCAGAACTCACCAGCAAATACCAGTTCTTCTGTTCCTCATTCCCATATGACTCACCAAAATCAGAGTTCTAAACATGCACACAAAATAAATCCTTTTATAAAGCCATATCAGTACAAAATTTCAATTGATAAATCTTCGTCAAACTGACAATCAATTGAAAACAGACAATATCAGCACCTGATCAAAGGCAAGCCTATTTCATTTATTAAAACACCAACAAGTGAGATTAACCAACAAAGCAACTAATACATTAATCTTAATATAAGACACTGAAGAAAAACCAAAAATAATGTATAAATACCACTCCATTGAGACAGGCTATAACTCATGGACTATAGACACATGAGTCTCTACCTATCAAACAATACTTTAAATATTTTTCTCTATTAAAAAATAGTATATTGGGAGATACAGAGGAAAGGTAGAAATGTGAATTTATGTATCTAATTCCACAATGTAAAATAAATATCAAACTGATATATAAAGCTAAGTGACAATGACTTGGGCACCAAACAGGCAATACAACTATTCACTGTAATTCATGCTGCTCTTCAGGAGTTTTCAGCAGAGGGCCCACCCAACAATCCTATCATAATATGACAGCACACTCATCCACTGTCGCAGAGACCCTAAAGAAAACATGGCAAAGGCATAGAGAAAAAGTTGGATCTTTTGAAAAAGTTAATGATATCAAAATACTTTTCCATCACTGGTAAACCAAGCTAGGTCAAGTATATATCCCAAAGCAGCACTGAATTCAGAGTTAGAGGTTAGCAGAAAAGTCTGGAAAACTGCAGTTTTTAAAAATTGGCAATTTCTCCATGCTTAATAAAACTATCAGAAGAGGTATAATGTTTGTTCATTTGTGGAATGTTGACTGCTTGCTGCAAAAATTCACAACATGAATGAGGAACTACAGAGATGCATTTCAATGAAAGATTTTGTAAAAATTTACAAAAAAACTAAAGTTTCTATTTAAAAAATAACCATGTTATGCCAAGATGAAACATGGTAAAAAGCAGTGTAAGTTCTGTCCATGATTCTTTACACAGCGAATGGCAAAGTGAAACAATTTTTTTCTTAAAAAGGAAGCTTTGTTATTGCACTGACTTTTACAACCTGACCTAGTAATTTAGAAAAATCATGTAGTAAAATCTGTAAAATTAAAATACAAAATTCTGGTTTGTAAGCATCAGTTGGCCAAGCCTATCCAGAGTCCTTCATGATAGTGGAATGGAATGAAAATCGTCTACGGCCATACCACCCTGAACGCGCCCGATCTCGTCTGCCCTTACATTTCTACTGTGTGAAATCTGAAAGTTTGGTGAGTTTACAAAGGGAACTAAGACATGGTCCTTCCCCCCCCAAGGTTTTTCTTTTCCTTGTATACTGTTACCCACTTAAGGAAAACTTCTTCCATGGTAGTGACAGAGGCACCAAAGCTAGCAATGCCCAACTGTTCTTGTCCTTCTTCCAGAGCAGTAAACAGAGTTTCATATCTAAAAGTAGAAGAGGAAGAGAGAAGAAAGCTATCACCGCACTAGATAATTTTCATATTTATATCTTTTTATTCTAAATTCGATTTACCCTCTGCAGTGAGGAAAATGTAGATCATTCTTCACTTTGATGCTTATTATAATTTTATGCCTCTGATAAATCAGACAGGTAGGACAAACAGAGAGAAAGAAACTAGTACATTGCTATAGGAATTTATTTTCTGAATTTTGTACAAGGAACACATATTAATTTCATAAGTAAAAGAAAAAGAAGAAAATATAGGTGAATTCACTCTACTTAGTTCTTGGATACACATATTGTTGGTCTTCTAATACAATTATCAGTAGACTCTATGTGTTAGTAACTCTAACTAGTTGACATGAGTTACCTTATCACACACATATATGCTATGGTTCTTATTACTCAGTAAATCGAAAAAAAAATAATATTCAACAGGAAAAAAAGACGCTTAAAAATAGAAAAGAGAGTAAGTGCAGCAGTAAAACTTGAAGTCTTAGAGAGAACAATGTGCTTAAATATCTAGAGAACTCCATAGAAGTAGAGCCATACGTAATGCAGAGACATCAAGTCTTTTAAAGAACAGTTTTCAGGGGAATATCTTATAGTGTTCAAAAGATTATTTTTGTCAGAAGCCTCCAGTTCTGAAAATCATCTCTATCACATTCCCAACAAAGTGCAATTGAACCTATCTCCGCACACTCTCAGCACTAGGGAAACTAAAAATTGCCTCTTTCAGAAAATTTGCCAACATTTTCTCCATATTCAATCTTAAATTCTATCTAGTACTGCACAGTAGCTCTAATCTTACACTTTGAGGTTATGTAGAACAGGTGTAATCTCCCTACCTGACAGCCTTTGATAGGTTTTATGGCCATTTCCTCTATGTATTTTCATTTTCAAAGCATAGCTTTTCAACTAGGCTTCACCCATATCTTCTTTTTCTTTACTTTAGTCATGAAATTAATATGTGTGCAATATACAAAATTCAGAAATATATAAAGAAAATAAAAATTATCACAATGCTATCCCCCAATGTTATTAGATAACCAATGTTATCTAATTAGATAACCAATGTTAATACGCTGATATTTTGTCATAATTATTAATTTTTGTTTCCTTTGACTTTACACAATATATGACAAAATTAAATTTTGTGCTGCTTTAAAATGCATTAACATAGCAAAAAGTAGTGATAAACCAAATATCCAGCAACAGTTTAATGAATAATGGTATGAATATCTTATAGAATAAGATCTAATTAAAACGTAGTATAAACTTCTCCACATTCATTTTATAAATGAAGAAATCCTACAGGTTCTAACACAGAATGTTGACCAAGAAATGCTGAGTAAATAAAGCAAGATTCAGTACATTATTATGGTAGGATCCCATTTTTGAAAAACTATAATAACTATTGTACACATGTCAATATATGTATGTAATGTTCATGAAAAATACACAAACTCTTCTCAGAGATTATTTCTATAGAGTGATCATGTGAGACTTTCACACTTTCTACTCTATATACTCCAGAAATAAATAAGCTCTTTAATTTTGTCATCATGCAACCATATATAGATTAGCCAACTCTAGGTTCCTTAGTAATAATCAGTAAACAAAACCAAATAATAATAAATAAATAATAAAACAAATTTTATAAGCTAGCCTTATTATGAAGTCATATTATGAATCTGACCAGAGTATACCTGTTTTTCTAATTATATAAGTTTATGTATCTGTAATACACCTGTTTTTCTAATCATATAGGTTTTATTTTATGTTATATATAATATATATTTAATACAAATACATATAAATATTATTTAGGTAATATATATTATCTTTGGGGGGGAATATAAAAAGGAAAAGAAAAAAATATCTGACTACCCCAAGTGTATCCCTGTTAACATTTAATGTAGTTCCTTCTATCCATTATATATATTTTTAGATCATTAGATTTTTTTATTTTATTTTATTTTATTTTTGGAGACAGAGTCTTATTCTATTGCCTTGGTAAAGTATAGTGGCATTATCATAGCTCACAGCAACCTCACACCCCTGGGCTCAAGCAATCCTTGTGCCTCAGCCTCCAGAGTAGCTGCGACTACAGGTGCATGCCACCACATCCAGCTAATTTCTCTATTTTTTTATAGAGATGGGGTTGGTATCACTCTCGCTCAGGCTGGTCATTAGATTTTTAATTTTACTTATTTTCTAAGGTACAGCATGTATAGAGTACACTAATTACAAATGAATTTTTACATATGAACATACCCGGATAACACCTAGATGAGAACATTTCCAACATCCCACGGGCGATGTCCTTTCAGCATGTCCCTTCCCAGTCAATAACCTCATCTGTGTGCGCGTGCACACACACAGGTACGGTAACAGTTATTTTAGGATTCTACAATTAAAGACTGTTTTTGCCTTTTATTGAACTTCATATAAATGGCATCTTATGGTCTTTACTTTTGTGCCCACCACAATGTCTGTGAGATTTCTTCCTGTTGTTGAATATCCCACCAGAGTTTGTTCTTTTTTTTTTTTTATTGCTGAGTAATATTCACCCATATTCCTACTAATGGATGTTTTGGTTGGTTTTGTGTTTGGAGCTATTATGAATAAAGTGGCTGTGAACATAAACATTATTTTATGGGTCTTTTGATGGACGTGTGTCTGCTAGGTATATGCAAGGAGTAAAATTACTGGGTCATAGGATAAGAACATATCTGGTTTAGTGAAAATGACCAAATATTTTACCAAGTAGTTTTACCAATTTCCACATTCACATGCTACATTCTGCCTTTTTAGTTTTTGCCATTCTGGTGGGTGTGTAGTGGTCATGTAATGTTTTCTTATTCTTTGTAATTTTGCTCACATTTCTGGGAAGAATTTTTGACATAGTCTTCTCTTTAATTAATTCTATTATTTTCTGCCATAATTATTTGCTCAGTTTTTTGTTAGCCAATCAAAAATTTTATCTCATTTTTCCTCTTGAAAACTGCTTGATCCAGATTCAGTGTCCTCTTTAATTTGATTGAGATTTTTTTTTTTTTTTTTTTTGAGACAGAGTCTCGCTTGTTGCCCAGGCTAGAGTGAATGCCGTGGCGCCAGCCTAGCTCACAGCAACCTCAAACTCCTGGGCTCAAGCAATCCTGCTGCCTCAGCCTCCCGAGTAGCTGGGACTACAGGCATGCGCCACCATGCCCGGCTAATTTTATATATATATTAGTTGGCCAATTAATTTCTTTCTATTTATAGTAGAGACGAGGTCTCGCTCTTGCTCAGGCTGGTTTCGAACTCCTGACCTCGAGCAATCCGCCCGCCTCAGCCTCCCAGAGTGCTAGGATTATAGGCGTGAGCCACCGCGCCCGGCTTGATTGAGATTTTAAAGCAGAGAGTTTCAAAAGTTTTCTATTTTTACAGTAAATTTATTTTCAGGGTTGACATTTATTATGATTTCTCAGTGTGGTACTATTCTTCCCAAATGTGGTATCTTTTCTATAGTCCATTTGTTTTCTCCCATCCTGATGACAATATACAAATTTGTCCAGGACTGACTTCTAATCACATAGAACTTTAAGAGGAAATTCTAAGATCGAGGTGTGATTCTACCTGATTCAATGATTTCTCTTCTAAGTTCTCATTCTAGTGTTTCTTTCCCTCCCATAATCAACTCTGAGATCATTGGTTCCAATTTGTGATGTTTAAAATTAAAATGAGATTGACATTTCTCCAGTTTTCTAACATCGTGATATAGATGGAAAAGCATAGGTTGTGGAGATACATGGGCCTATGTTTGATTTCAGCCCATGTCACTAATTACTATCTGATTTAATCTTTTCATTTGATTTACAATTGAGTTAATGTTACTATTTGATTTGATCTAATCTTACAAATCATATCATTTGTAAAAAGATAAAGTAAGTACACATTTTATATTCTCATTTAACATTTATTCCTTTACAATCACTTTATAGTGGTGTGAGAGGCTCATATGTACTTTATGACAGCTGGTTTGAATCTGGGGATACCAAAGCAAGTAATTACTTGTATATGGCCATAAGATGAAAATACTATACTGTGAAAGTCACCGATGAATATGCTTTGTTCCCATCTCCTATTTTTAGGGTGGTTATCCCAGGAAGAGTTATTCTTCCTTGTGACTACCTTTGAGGAATAATTTGGATAACTAGCGCATTCAAACTGCCTTTTCCTCTGGGTTCTTGTCATCCTGACTCCAAGAGCCACCATCTAAGCCATCTCATTTTTTTCCTCTCATTATCTTAATATTTCCCTTCATTCACGAGGAGTAATTTTTACTTTTCCAACAACATACCATCAGTTATCACCAATTAACACCAACCAGCAAACTGCAGCCATTAGGTAGCATCTCTCTTTAGTGTAGGACTTTTATCTTATTAAATAAACTCTACTTGCTAAGCCTGAAGAAACTAGGGAAAGTAACAATGATTTCTGATTATCTGAAAATCATCTATTTAGCACTCTCTGGATCCATACCTGTGCATATACTCTTTGGGTAGAAGAAATGATAATTCAGTTCCAACATTGTTCTCCAAAGTGGCTGTTGGTGTATAATAATGAATCAATCTTGAGATTTCTCCAACATCACAGTTAGGTGCCTTCACTATGATTATATGGTATCCCACACCTGAGAAAATCCATTTAGAGAAACAAATAAAACAATTTCACACTTCCCATACTCCTGTGAGACCATACTAAACTTTCCATGGCTTGGTGAGTAAGAAGAAGATAGGGCATGTCACAAATCATCTGAGAACCTAATAAATATTTCTTTTACAATTTCATTATTTTTTTAGGGACTGATAATGGTCCGGATTATATAATAAGATACAGTGAAGATAGTATGGAAAGCCTCTGTTATCTGCCTTCTCATCCTATTGACATTGAAATCTGAGAAAATGAGATTAATATTCATTAAACAGATATTTATTGGGTGCCTATTATAATATATTCCAGGGAGTAAATAAGTCAGATAAAAATTCTATCCTTAAGAGATCTGAGAAACCTTCCTAAAGCACTTTGTGTTTACACTAGGTACACTTCACTGGCCTTCCTGAAAGTAGGGGTAGTATAGGGCAGCAGAGAAAATTCACTCTAGAGTACTCCAGGACTTTGTGGAAAACACTGAAGTAGCATTTTATTCACAACATCAACCATAAGATAAAAATTACAAAACATGCAAAGAAATGAAAATATAACCCTGCTCAGAACAGGAAGCTAATTATATTTGGGCCAAATACAAAGCAGTGCTGGGGACAAGAAAGCTGTGGGAAACAGAGGCAGGGGACTTTTCCTACTGTGGGATCACACATAGATAAAGTCTTTAAAACAACCATCTTATCTTAATGATTCACAAAGATCTAAAGGAAGACATGGAAAATTCAGGAAAACAATGTATGAACTAAATGAGATTATCAATAAAGAGACAGAAAGTATAAAAAAGAACCAAAAAGGCATACAAGTACAAAATGGAGCTAAAAAGTACAAAAACTGAAATAAAAAATACACTAGAGGTGTTTAAAAGCAGAGATGAGCAAGTAAAAGAAAGTAACAGTGAACTTGAAGATGGGGCAATTGAAATTATATACACTGAGGAACAGAAAAAAATAATGAAGAAAAGTGATCAGCGTCTAAAGGACCTGAGGGACAACAAGAAGACCAACATACATATAGTGGGATTCAGATGGTGAAGAGAGTGAGAAAATGGCAGGAAGAATATTTGAAGAAATACCAGCTTAAAACTCTCCAAGTTTGATAAAAGACATGAATCTAAACACCCCAAAAGCTCCATGAACTCCATGTACAATAAAATCAAAGAGACTCACACCAAGGCACATTATAATCAAATTGTCAAAAGGCAAACAAAAAGACAGTAACTTGAAAGAAGCAAGAAAAAAGCAACATGTCACATACCAGGGATCTGAAATAAGATTACTAGTTAATTTCTCATTAGAAATCTTGAAGGCCAGAAGGTAATGGGTTGATACATTCAATGTGCTGAAACAAAAAACTATCTGGGTAATATTAGCAAGATGGAGAAATGGGAGGCCCTGGACCCTCCTTCTCCCCTACAAACACAAACTTAACAACAATTGAGTGCAGATTTCCTTTGTGAGAAATCCAGGAACTAGACAATAGGCCCTTGTACTCAGGTAAATACAAAACTAGCCATATTGAAACTGGTTGAAAAACTCAAGATACTGTCTTGCCATAATCTCTACCTTAGCATATCATCATACAATCAGGACAAAATTCACAGCTCCCAGCTTCTCCCTGGAGAGGGAAACAAGTGCACCATTCATCCAGTGCCCCAATTTTCTAGGAATCAAGCAGAGAATTGGCTTCTGCCTGCCTTGGAGTGCTGCAAAGACATGACATACTTTACCCGCCTGGGGCCAGTGAGAACAGAGGCAGTGATCTGGGCTGACAGTCATCCTAGCAACTCCTCCAACCCCTGCCCTGCCCCAGCTTACCACAGAGCTTGTTGAAATATAGCCCCTAGTTTCTCTCTTGGGAGGAAAAGAGGTGCACAGTATATCAAACACCCCAACTTTTATGGGGGTTACGAATAAGACTGACTTATGTTTAGCCTATCTTATATCACTAGCAAGACATAAGATACAGCTACCTGAAGCCAATGACAGCAGCGATGGTGGTTTAGGCTGTCAATTGTCATAGTGACTTGCACCAACTCAGCACAGAGTGAGTGTATGGAAAACCCTAGTTCCGAGCTTATACCCGGAGAGGAAAAGAGTTAACCCAGTGCATTTGATAGCTCAATTTATCTGGTACTGCTTGAGGAATTGGCTACAATCTCACTTGTCTCAGAATGTTGATAGGACCCTGCATACTCTAGATGCTTTGGAGCTACTAAAAACAAAGAAAACAGGTTGGGCTAGCATGAAAGTTTAGAGGCTCCCAGAATCTCAGTCCAGGATGTTTGGGAAGGGTCTACTCCAGTAAAAGGCCACTCTATGAAGAAAGAAAGAGATGGCTATTTTGTTTAATGAACACACACAAACATTATGATCTAAGGAAAATGGAAAAATGGGAAAACATTTTCCAAATAAAGGAACAATATAAATCATCATAACTGAGCCTAATAAAATGGAGAGATTGAATTTACCTGACAGAGAATTTAAAATAACTCATAAAGATACTCCCTGAGGTCAAGAGAAAAATAAATGAATAAAGTGAGAATTTCAACAAAGAGACAGAAAAATTTTAAAAGTACCAAGCAGAAACAATGGAGTTAAAAATACAATAACTGAACTGAAAAATTCACTAGGTGGGTTTAAGAGTGGACTACATCAAAGAGTAGAAAGAATCAGCAGACTCAAACTCAAGGCATTGGATATGGAGCAAGTGAAAATCTCAAATATGCTGACTGATCTAAATATTACAAGCATTTTGGAGAATCTTTTACTAGAACACAAACACAATCTTTAACCAATACTCCAATACTAAGTACCAAAATACTCTACTATTAAGTATTTTTATCCAAGATAAATTTTTATCTCTCGAGAGACTTTTATAACCAGAAACAAAAAAAATATGGTATATCATTCATTTATATGACACTCAAAAATAGGCAAACTAATATAACGGAATAAAATCAGAAAGTAATTTCCTCTAGGAGAGATGAACTGATGATGGAAAGAGGTTCAAAGAAACTTTCTAAAGTCATGGAACTATTTCTTGCAGTCAAATAAGTACATAAAATTGTAAAAACTCATTGAATTGAACATATAAGATCTACCTATTTCATGGTATATGTTATACTTCAACTTAAAAAAATTCTTCCTTGATAAGAGCATTTCTTCTACAGAGATGGATCATGGACAAGTTGAAAATATGCTATATATTTTATTAATGTTTAAGAAAAAGTATGGAAAGAAATAAGAAACATTGAAGATGAGGTGTTAAAGTTTTATTTAGGGGGTCAAAGTAGACTAATGTATAGGTAATTCTAAATAATGACCTAAAAAAGGTAAGGAAGTTATTAGGACACATCTGATATCTTCAATGTTTAGAAAAAATTCTTCTTCAGATTGCAATAAATTATTCTGCTCAATATAAAAGCAATTTAATACCAGTTTGGAAAAAAGAAACAAGAAGCACAGATATATAGTTCCCTGTACTTCCCCTATAATCCATTAATTCATCAATTTACTTATTTATTCATCATCCATTATCTATCTATCTCTCTATCTCTAATTTTTTTGAAGGCACAAATGCATTCAAACAAATTACAATTTCAGTAGAAGTCATATAGAAAAAATGAACATGAATTCTGGATAATATATTAAACATTTAGGTGAGAAATAATTTTGAATTTTGAAGAAAATATGACCATTATTTCAAAGAGTTCACAGTTGAACCCTAATTAACAGAACAGAGGGAATCATTGAATTTTTGGTGGATAGAAACAAAAACAATAAAATTTATGTTAGACGAATATTATTAAGGAATCAATATCCTAAGAATGAGCAAGGGAGACAGACCATATATTTTTTTCAGGAAAATTGAAGAGCCACAGCATTTGAGGGATCCCTTGACAAGGATGGCTATGCGATCACCCAGGATATCAGCTTCATCCATGTGGTGGGTGGTAAGTAAGAGGGCACGATCCTGTTTATACTGCTGAAGGAGATTCCAGGTGACCCTCCTTGAGGCTGGGTCCATTCCAGATGTTGGCTCGTCAAGTATCACTACCTAAAGACCAGAAGAACTCCATGACCATTGTTATATATATATACCATGTACTGGCGCCACGAGTGTCTCACCAGTTTCTACTTGTTCAACTAAGCTAAAATAATACATTTAGGAAAAACTGAATTAGGAATGCTGAAATGATTCCAAACCTGTGACCATGTTGTATCAATGAGGTTAATAATGTGAATCAGATTTTCATTTAGGAGCTTCCTTTTAGAATGTTAAATCTAGATCAGCTCTCAAATTTGTGTCAGCTGATTATTTTCGATCAGTTGCAATGTGCAGGGGAATCTATATCTATCTATCTATCTATCTATCTATCTATCTATCTATCTATCTATCTATCTATCTATCTATCAATCAATCATCTACAATCTTACCTTAGAGTCCCCTATAAGTGATATAATGATGGAGAGTTTGCGCTTCATTCCCCCACTCAGTGCCTTTGACAATGCATTCTGCTTTTCCAGCATGTTAAAAGCAGACAGCATGCTGTAAGTTTCCTTACGTCTTGTCTTTCTATGTGCTCCTTTTATCTAGAAAGAAGAGACAGTTTACATGTTGCTTCTGACTTTATTCTTAGAAATATTTTACAGCAGCTCTTTTTTTTTCCTTGATTGTCAAATTTTCCTGTTTATTCTTCCATTTTTGGGGAAAATGGGGTGGGGAAAAAGGTAGGAAATACCTACATCAAAATGAAAAACATTTCTTGTAAGAACAACAAAGGACTTGTAATTGAGTTGCTCCCACCTTTTGGCTATTGTGAATAGCCAAACATTGGTGCACATCAGCTCTTTTCTTACATCATCCATGTAATAGTGTATTCCCTTTGCTTCTCTTTATGTTTAAAGAAGAATTCATGAAAATCAAATTTTGAACTTTATAAGAATAGGGATATCAATAGTTAGTCATCTACTTGAAGTACATGATAAAAGGAAAGTGTCTTTGGCTCACCACACCATAGAAATGCAGGTGTTCTGCTACTGTCAAGTAACTAAACAACAGATCCTGCTGGGGACATATGCCCAAAGATCTCCTAATCTGGACCATCTGCTTTGAGATGTCCTTTCCATTAACATAGGCCTTTCCACTGGTAGGAGGATAGAGACCTAGAATCAAACAGAAGACATAACAGAACTTGGAGTATGTGTGAGAACATAACAACAAACTGCTTGTTAGTACTTCCGGAGTTTGAAATCTACATATGGATTACTCATTAGCATTAGCAGTAACTCACAGAGAAAAAAATTCTAAAAAATACGGGTTATTTTCAAGGAATGAAATCAGAAATAAATTATTTTGTATTTTTCTGTTTAACTGTATTTTCTAATTTTCAATGAATATGAATGAGTGCAAATGGCGCGGGTAACAAAAACACAAGAGAGTGTTAGAACATTCCAGCATTGCCATCAACCATTTGAAATCCATGAATCATGTTATAAGCTTTGCACGACCTTAGACTGTGGGAGAACCTTTTAAAACCCGAATATACAGATAATAAAACTGTTATGTTTGAAGAATTTAAATTTTATTTGGAGGAGATACACAGTAACTTAGAACAATTTTTAAATACTTACAAAATATCTATCGATAGCTGTGAAATGGGGAAAATATCACTTTAAACCTGAATTCTATTTTACAAACACACAACTAAGAGGATAAATGTGTTCAGATATGTCCATTCCAATGAGAGTGACCATATGCCCCAAATTACCCATTGTCCAGCAGTCCAATTCATTTTCACATATATTTTAGAATGTTTATATTTAATAAATTATTCTAATTTCAATTGATTTAAAATGAGACTCTTTGGCTGTTAACCCGTGTGACTTCTCACTATTGTCATGGACCTTTTCTTCATGATGTTACTACTTTGAACCTTCTCTTTTTCCTCTTGGTCATTCTAGCTAAAGGTCTGCCAATTTTATTAATCATTCAAATAACCAATTTTAGGGTTAATTAATTTTCTTTAATGTTTTTAATATTCTCTATTTCATTAATTTCTATTTTAATTTTTACTGCTTCCTTCCCTCTAATTGCTTTGGGTTTATAATTTTTTAAGGGTCTTAAGGTAGAAAGTTATATAGTTTGAGAACTTTCTTTTTAATGTAGGCATTTCCCTTTAAGCATTGCTTAAGCTGAATTTTATATGTTTTGATATATGTTGTGTCTTCATTTTCATTCATTTCAAAGTATTTCCTAATTTCTTTTGTGATTTCTTCTTTATCCACTGGTATTTAAAGGTTTGTTGTTCAATTTTCACATTTGTGAATTTCTAAAATTTCTTTTATCTTAATTTATAATTTTATTCTGTTGTGATCAGATACTATATTTTGTGTGATTTAAATCTTTTAAATTAATTGAGGCTTGTTTTATGGCCTGCTGTATGGTCTACCCTGGGGAATATTCTGTGTCTAGTTGAGATGACTATACATTTTGTTGTTACTGGGTGCAATGTTTTATAAATATATAAATAGTCCTGTTAAGTCTATTTAATGTGTAGTGTTGTTCAAGTCTTCTATTTACTTGTTGATGTTCTGCTTATTTTTTTCTATCTCTTATTGAAAGTAGGGTATTAAAAGTTCCAATTATTGTTTCTGAGTTTGTCTACCTTTCTCTTAAATTCTGTCAGTTTTTGCTTCACATATTTTAAAGTTCTGTTGTTAGGTGCATATGTTTATAACAGTTATAAGTTACTGATGAATTGGCCCTTTTATTATTATAAAATATTTTTATCTCTAATAACACTTTTTGTTTCAAAGTTTATTTTAGCTGGTATTTGTATAGCCACTCCAGTTTTCTTTTAGTTGCCTTTTTCATGATATATCTTCTTCTATCCATTTACTTTCACCCTATTTGCATTTTTGAATCTATGGTGTGTCTCCTGTAAACTGCACAGAGTTGGACTTTATCCATCTGAAAATCTCTAATTTTTGTAATAGATTGTTTAATCCATTTACATTTAAATATGGTTAGGGTTTCTTCTTGTTGTTGATTTTGACAGTTTTTCTTATTTCACTAGGGTATGGGCCTGATGAGCCAAAAGTGGAATATAATTATTATTTTTGTTTAAAAATTCAATGGTAATCTAAAGAAATTTTCATATGTAAGAATTTAAAAATTGTTTCTTATATTTATCAACAATGTTTATCATTTCCAGTACTCTTCTTTTTTTTTTTAAACGAATCTGAGTTTCAGTCTGGAATAATTTACTTCCTGCCTAAAAAACTTTGAATTTCTTGGCTCGCTCCACTCCCTTCTGGGGATAGCCCAGGCTATAGTATATCTTGGCAACTGTTCGTGGGTGGGTGAAACGAATGTGTATTCTGCTGTTGTTGGGTAGAGTAGTCGATAAATGTCAACTGGATCCTGTTGGTTAACAGTGTTGTTAAGTTAATCCTTCTTGATTTTTGTCTACTGGTTATATCAATTGCTGGGAGAATGTTGTTGAAGTATACAAATGTAATTGCAAATATGTCTATTTTTTTCAAGTCTATGAGTTTTTGCTTTGACTCTTTTGATGCTATGCTTTGACTGCATATATATTAAGAACTGTTATGTCTTCTTCGTGGATTGACCTTTTTATCATTATGTAACCTCCTCTTCTTTCCACCCAAAAATGAATACTAATTTTTAAATTTTATAATAATTATTTGAAAACTTAAAAATAGAGTGGATTATTAAACTATGTATCACAGAAATCACCAAACTGTAAGCATCAAGATGATATACAAAAGTTTCATTCTTTATCTGCCCGTTTCTGTGTGAGGATAACTTCTGAACAGAGTGGAACACCTACCTGAGAGAATGGATATAGCAGTGGATTTTCCTGCCCCATTATGTCCTAGAAGAACAGTGATCTGTCCCTTATATAAATTCAAAGACAAGTCCTTTAAAGCTATTTTGGTAGCCCCACGATCTTGGAATACCTGTGGAGATAAAACCCACAATTATTAACTTTATCACAATCATATGGAAGAACAAGCACTTGTATCAACCATTTACGGAACAAAAAATACATCATCAATCTCATGAGAAAAAAAAAATCCCAATCTCCTGAGGAAAAAAGGAGTAAAATGGTAAAAAGGAAAAAAAAAATCTGAAGGTGTAATGTGAGTTTTAAAATTTCGCAGTAGATCTAAAACATTCCCTGGGAAATCTCATTCATTCCTGCTTTGTTTCAAGTACGATCTTGAAGCTTATAATGCTACAGTCGTCTTCAGTCAATGTCTTGTCCTAGTCTGGAGAACTTCCAACCGAAAACCTACACATGGATATTCATCTTAAATTTCTTACGTGTAGAACAGCAGTGCTTCTGCTTAAGATGTGAAAAGCTGGAAAGAACCTCACTCCAACTCTAGCAATTAGTTAGAAGCTGAATAATCTACAAAATTTTAACTTTTCTTGAGTCCATCAGAGAAGTAAGGTTTGCAGGTAACCAACTAGCCTGAAATTTAAAAGAGACAGATACTTTCAAGGACAAATGGCACATGAGAATTTGCTTACCTGGAGCAGACAGGGGCAGTACACAAGCTAGTAAGAAGATTTTGGTTAAATTTTTTAATAAAAATGAGATGAAAACAGTTTAAGAAGCACAACATTTTTTTTTTTTTTTTTGAGACAGAGTCTCGCTTTGTTGCCCAGGCTAGAGTGAGTGCCATGGCGTCAGCCTAGCTCACAGCAACCTCAAACTCCTGGGCTCGAGCGATCCTTCTGCCTCAGCCTCCTGAGTAGCTGGGAGTACAGGCATGCGCCACCATGCCCGGCTAATTTTTTATATATATATCAGTTGGCCAATTAGTTTCTTTCTATTTATAGTAGAGACGGGGTCTCGCTCTTGCTCAGGCTGGTTTTGAACTCCTGACCTTGAGCAATCCGCCCGCCTCGGCCTCCCAGAGAGCTAGGATTACAGGCGTGAGCCACCGCGCCCGGCCAGAAGCACAACATTTAAATGGAAGAGTTGGGATGCAATCCCATGTCATTCAGAATTAAAGCATATTTTCCTTCTAATACAACCTACTGATGGTGAAAAAAGGTAAACATCTTGTGTAACACACACAAAAATTGTTATTATTTTTACCCCAAATGATTGTAGGTGTTTTCTCCAAGTGCCTTTCTTTATACTTTACCTAGGCCTAAGCATCAAGCTTGTATCTGTTTATTTGAGATCTCTACTTGCATAAATATGTAAAGTTTCTACATCCAGAATAAAGTTCTTAATTTCCCAAACCTAAATTTAGAAATCAACCAATAAACCAATCAAGTAAACCCTGTGTCCTCCCCCTCCCCATATCTCCAATATCCATAATTCTCTCACTGACCTCCATTTCCTCAAGCCACAAAACCGATAGCCACATTACTTTCTTCCTTTTTCCTCAATCACACACCCAACCTATAAAGCAAGTCTTCAACTGTGACTCCAAAATATATTTTAAATCTCTACTTCTATTTCCAGTGCCACAAGCCTAGTTTATGCTGCCATTGTATCTCACCTGAGCTACCACGACAGCCTCCAATTCATCTTCTTTCTTCGATTCATACTCCTCAAAACGTCCGGAGTGGTCCCTGCCTGTCGAAATTCAGCCTGGCACTAGTCTTGAATCAAAATGTGAGTCAGATCATGCCCCCCCTTCATAAAGGCCTATAATAATAATCAAAACTTAAAATATAAAATTCAAGCTTTACCACAGCCTACAAGGCCCCTTGCATGATTGATATTACGATGTATTGCCAAACTCATCTCATATAACTCTTTGTCTTTGCTTCCTTTAACTTTTATTTTCTTTTTATTCTTTGACATACAAAGCTCCTTCTCATCTCAGGGTTTTGAATTATTTTTCTGTCTGTTTGAATTTCTTGTCCCTAGTTTTTCAACTGTCTTGCTCATTCTCTTCATTATGGTCTCAGATACTGCCAGGGCTTATTGCAGGTTTGGGTTCCCAGGAAGCAGTTCTCAACTAGAAGATTAAATGTAGTGCCAAAGTTGTCCAAATCAAAATGAAGTCTCCTTTTTTTTTTTTTTTTAACCCTGACAAATGATTCTTGGGAAGGCCACAAAGAGATGGTTCTCATACATAAATGTTTGACGTGGTGCTTGATTTTCCATTCCTGTGATACTTCCAGATATGACTTTTTATTATGTACTTTATAAATTTCATTTTCATTTTTCTCAAAGGAAGCAAACATGATGGCTATTGCCCTTTTAATAGCATCTGATCTTTATCTTGGCATTTTCAGTAACAAACATTTACAGTGAATTATAAACTAAACTTCAGTCCCATCAAGAATAAGAAATCTGTAAACAATACCTTGTGCAAATGTTGGATCTGGATACCTATTTCTAAATCAGTAGGTTCAGCTTCAAAATACTTGCTTTGGGTTGTCTCATAAAATAGTTCTGTTTCAGTTCTTTTGTCAGATGCTTCCCCAAACCAGTAAGAGCGCTAAGAAGGGAATAAAAATGTAATCGCCACCAATGCTATTGAAAAATAAAGCATTAAAAAAATACTTCAGCCTATTAGCTTTGGTATTGAAATGGATTACATGAAATTTCTTGGTATGAAATTCTGGAGCTAGTTGGCTATAACTGGAATACTCAGGGCATAAAAGCAGACTATTCTGTTAAAATCGTAACTGCTCAAGAGCCACTAAAGGAAATCACTCATAGCAATTCAGCATTGTATCACTCTCTATCAGATGTTTTCTGAGCAACACATAAGCCAAACATAAAAATGGAAAATATTGAGAAGAGAGGGCGAGATATAAATGCTTCACCTTTTTCTACGGTTCTGAATCTAAGAAGGAGATAAAGCAGGTGGTGTGTGCCCAGACATAACTAAACCTCTCCTTGTTAGCATCCAAAGACCCATCATATATTAATGTCTTTATGATAGAGTCCAATCACTTATGAAAAAATTTCTTGCAAAGTGATGGGTCTCACAATTTGTAAAGTTTCAGGCCATTATCTACTATTTCTTATATAAATGCGCACGCGCGTGTGTGTGTGTGTGTGTGTGTGTGTGTGTGTGTGTGTAGAAAGAGAGAGAGAGAGAGAGAATTAGGAAAAAGCTAGTAAATTCATATGGCTGGAATATAAATAAGAATGGTTCTTTCACTTGATCAATTGTAGACAATGCAATATTACAAACCAGGTTCATAATGACTGTGAGCTCTTATCAATAACATAAGCATTAGAACTCACCAGGAAGAAAAAGTTCCATGGCTTGGGTACACCATAGTTTCCTGGAAAGACAGCTTCTACATAGAAGGCCACAAGGCAATACATGAAGGCATCAAATAAAAACATTCCCAGTATATAGGAAAAACAAAAGTCATCCAGTGTATGTGATACAAATATGTTACTCCAGTCAAGTCCAGATTCTGAAACATAGCAAAAGACATTTAATTAGGTGCCAACTGTGACTAAAGCAGAGTTATTCGCTTACATAATAATTAAATAGCGAAGAGAATAATATGTCGACATTGTCTAGAGCAGGGGTCCTCAAACTTTTTAAACAGGGGGCCAGTTCACTGTCCCTCAGACCGTTGGAGAATGCGTGCACTGTGGGCCTGGGATGAATTGGCTGCTAAGCAGGACAGGCAGCGGCGGCAAAAACACCTGGAGGGCCGGCGGTCTGCATGTGGACCGCGGGCCATAGTTTGAGGATGCCTGGTCTAGAGATTCCTATGGGAGTCAGCTACTTTCTTACACCCTTAGAATTTAAGTTGTCCCAGAACGTTTGAGTAAGTAAAGTTCTCATGTAAAGTGCTCTCCATTATACCCCAAACAAGCAAATGATTAGAAATGAATGAAACAAAAATAAAATGTGACAAAAAGTCAGGAAAATAAGCTTTAAGAAAAATAAGATGACCTATGGGGAAAGATGATGGCTGCTCTTTCTCTACTCCTCCCCATGCTAAATGTTCATTTGAATATATAATTTATTGTTTGAAAAGTAGGGATGGATGCTTTCTGTAGGATAGAAGATTGGAAAAATTTTTGCACAGATACCATGCTGATGGAAAAAGAGAGTTCTTAACCACTTCAGTACCACCATCGACTACAGTCAATAGCCACAGATGAACGCGCACAGCGACTTTAACCAACAGCCATGATATGACTTTTCTAATTTTTCATTTATCAAAATAAAATTGTGAACATTTAAAAATAATGTAATGAAAACATATATGTATATGTTACCTATTCTGATTTACATTACAAGTAAAGCTGCCTGTAAAGTAAAACAAGCTTTCAGTGCTTTAAAGCTTTCCTCATCACACAAGAGCAAAATGGATTCGTCGTCAATGCACAGCACAAGCTATCGTGGGGACTATGAGTGCTAGCTGTGGGAAAGATTTCGTGGCCGGTGAGCACAATACCGAAGTGGTTAAAAGCAGACTGTGTCACTTCCTCCCCTATCACTAGACAGCAGGTGGCAACTCCAATAGGAGGAAGAAGAGGCTCTAACAAACTTGCAGTAAGTTTCTGGAGAGAAGATGGAAGCATTCATGTACTATAGGTGGTGGTATAAAGTAGTATAATTTTTTGAAGGATGCTTTTGCAATATTAATTGATATTAAAACTGTGAACATCCAATAAGATAGCACAGATACATCTACTAGGACATAGAAAAAAATTATGAAGTAGATACTCACGCATTGACTCCCTGTCGACTAGAAATTTAATTCCCAGTGCCATTGCAAAATTTGAGTTGAGACAGGCAGTCAGCTTCAGGGAGAATGTCATCGATGTATAGAAGAAAGAAAGGCCAGTAGCTGGAAAGTATAAGGCAAAAAAAAGCAAACCACCAGAAGCAACAGCAAAATTGCCTATAAATAAGAAGAAAATTATAAGGTCAATTTCAGCAGTCTTTAAAAACTTAAAATACAAATATCTTTGTTTTATTATAAGAGTATACTAAAATAAGCTCTAGGAGAAATATGAACTTGTCCATTTTATTCACCATTATTTCCTCCAACACGTAATACTTGGAACAGAGTAAGTGCCCAAACATACTTTTTTGAATAAATAAAAGGCTGGAATAAAACATTTGAGAAAATAACTTTTCTAGAATTTATCATTCCATATGCAATAACTATGAATGTTATAGACCTTAATAAAAATATTTTTACTTATTATTACTCAGCTTAAGAAATTGAAAATGTAAATACTACTGCTGTAATAATTAAAAGATAACTATACTGTGTTGCTGGACATTATATGAGATTCAATTTTTGTCATGATACTGAGGGAAAAGAAGGATGTCTAAGTAAACAGAGAAAGACAAAGTTGGTGTCCAAGAGCCAGATGTGGTTTAGAGTATCAGGAGTTCATATGGAAAAACCCAAGTGCCTATCAATACATGAGTGGATTAATAAAATGTAGTATATGTATACCATGGAGTTCTACTCAGCCACAAAAAACAATGGTGATCTAGCACCTCTTGTATTATGCTGGATAGAGCTGGAACCCATTCTACTAAGTGAAGTATCATAAGAATGGAAAAACAAGCACCACATGTACTCACCATCAAATTGGTATTATCTGATTAACACTTAAGTACATATATAGTAATAATATTCACTGGGAGTCGGGCAGATGGTGGGGTGAAGATGGGATGGGTATATACACACATAATGGGTGCAGTGCACACCATCTGGGTGATGGACATGCTTGAAGCTCTGACTTGGGTGGGGCAAGGGCAATATACATAACCTAAACATTTGTATCCCCATAATATGCTGAAATTTTAAAAAATTAAAAAGAAATAAACACAAATAAATATATTAGAAATACAAAATAAAGTTAGAAATATAAAAAAGAGTATCAGAAGTTCAAAAAATGCAATTCTGATTTCCAGAGTTACTATAATCTTCAAAATATTATAATTTTCAATAAAAAATTAGGAAGCATGCAAATTAAGAGTATGACTCATTCACAAAGAAAAAGAAACCATCTCTGAGGAAGCCCAGAGATTGGACTTATTAAAGACTATAAATCAACTGCCTTAAATATGCCCAAATACTTTAAATAAAGAACTACAGGAAAGATGGAGAAACATATCTCATGAACTAGAGATTATCAGTAAAGTGACAAATTATAAAAACAAATTATACAGCAGATAAATAAAATAAAATGAAAAATTCACTAGAGAGCTTCAACTGCATATCTAAGCAGGAAGAAGACAGAATCAGCAAAGTTAAAGATAAGACAATTGATATTATGCAAATTGAAGGGTGGTAAGAAAAAGAATGAAGAAAAATTATCAAAGCCTAAGAGACCTAGGGACACCGTGAAAGGTACCAACATATGCATAACTGGAGTCTCAGAAAGAGAGGAGAGACAGCAAAGGGTCTGGGTGATTAGTTGAAGAAATAATGACTAAAACCTTTCCCCATTTAAATAAAGACATGCATCTACATACCTTCTAAAACTCAGCTCCAGGTACGATAAATCAAAGTGATTTACACCAACACACATTAAAGTAAAAATGTCAAAAGTCAAAGACAAAAACAAAATCTTGCAAGCAGCAAGAGAGAAGCTTCCCACGATATAACAGATGAAGAGCCAATTTCTTGTCAGAAATTAGAGGCCCAGAGACAGTGGGATAACATTTTTAAAGTGCTGAAAGTAAAAGAAATAAACAAAGACAAACAAACAAAAGAAACTTACAACGAAGAATTCTATTATGAGGCAAAACTACCCTTCAAGAATGAGAGACTTCTGATTTCTGGTTCCATGTGTAAGGAGCTCAGAAACAGCCACTACCCCCCTAACATCAAGTAAAACGTTGAACAGACTAAAAAGTCAACTTTTCTTCGTCCTTAAGAGACGGAAGGACATAGGGAAAATCGCTGCTCCCAAGATTAGGGGGAAATAGATGGCATCATGGCTTAAAGAAGTAGAGACTCACGAGCAGCAATGACCAAGGGAGTGAGTGCTAGGGTAGGAAAATCTGAACTGTCATTGATAACGTTGCTAGAGGATCAGGGTGGACAAGACTGAGAATTTAAAATGCCAGGGGACCCAGTCATTAGGGGTGGGGAACCCTATTATGAGATACCTCCAGAGGCTTAAACAGGCACCTACAGCAAATATCAGAGAAAAATCCCCTCATGCTTCTGGCAGAGGGAGAGGGAAAATGGGAAAATGTACCATTCTGAAATACGTAAGAGCACTCTGTTCCTCTTAACAAGGCCTGATCTCAGGAGAAACTAGTTAACCAGAGCTTAAACCACTGGGGTATTATCAGAGCCTAAGTGATCTGGGGAAAGGGAAATGCTCAATTCCAGCTCCCCCTAGTCTACAATATGGGAGAAGGGAAATGCCCAACTCCAGTCCACCCCAGCCATACTATCCCATTTGCTGCAACTTGAATGGAACCTTTATCCTAAGTGAAGTATGTCAGGTATGGAAAAACGAACACCACGTGCACTCATTAGTAACTGGGAGCTAATTGATGGACACACATGGGCACAAAGAGAAGTTCTTTGGAAACCAAGAAGGGGGAGGTGGGGAAGGGATGAGGGGTAAAATCTTCCCTCTTGGGTACAATGAACACTCTTCTGGTGCTGGGCACACTAAAGCCCTTCTTTAGCATTATACAGTGTATACATGTAACAGAAACATTGGCATCCCCATAACATTTTGAAATAAAAAATACCTGCACATGAATACTGATAGCAGCTTTATTCATAATTTCTAAAATTTGGAAGCAATCAAGATGTTCTTCAGTAGGTAAATGGACAAATCAACTGGTACATCCAGAAAATGTAATATTATTCAGCACAAAAAAAGAAATGAGCTATAAAACCATTAAAAGACATGGAGGAGTCTCAAATGCAATTTACTAAGTGAAAGAAGCCAATCTGTAAAGGCTATGGACTGTAGGATTTCAATTATATGATTTGGGAAAGGCAAAACTATGGAGACAGTAAAAAGATCAGCTTGCCAGGGGTTGGGTGATTATGATGAATTAATGTAGGGTCATCCATTATAACAAATATCACAATTTGGGAGGACACTGATAATGGGGGAAGGCTATGCATATGTGGGGCAGGAGGTATGTGAGAAATCTCTGTACTCTCATCTTAATTTTCCTGTGAACCTAAACTGCTCTTAATAAATAAATAAAGTCTTTAAAAATTTGGAAATGAGGAATTAAGAAATTCCTACATTAACATACAAAGTGTAAAATTATTTTTTAGATTAACAAAAGCTGAGGAAGTTTGCTAATAGACATTCTCCACAAGGTAGTTCTTACAGCTGAATGAAATGCCATTCGACACCGTATAAAAAAAAAAAGAGCTCCAGTGAAGGTTATTATACGAGTAAATACAAAAGCCAGTATTATGAAATTTTTTTGTTTTGTAACTTTTTTTTAATTTCAGCATATTATGGGGGTACAGAATTTAAGGTTTCAATAAATGCCTTTTCTCCCCCTCCCCCCACAAGTCTGAGTTTCCAGCATGACCATCCCCTAGATGGTGCACATCTCACTCATTATGTATGTATATACCCGCCCCCCTCCCCCCTGCCCAATACCCTATTACTGTAGTACCTATGTGTCCACTTAGGTGCTGCTCAGTTAATACCAGTTTGCTGGTGAGTATATGTGGTGCTTGTTTTTCCAATCTAGGGATACTTCACTTAGTAGCATGGGTTCCAGCTCTAACCAGGAAAATATAAGATATGCTATATCATGGTTGTTTCTTAGAGCTGAATAGCAAAGGACTTGAACAGAAACTTTTCTAAAGAAGACAGAAGAATGGCCAACAAACATATTAAAAAATGCTCAACATCTCTAATCATCAGGGAAATGCAAATCAAAACCACAATGAGATATCACTTAACTCCAGTGAGAATGGCCTTTATCAAAAAGTCTCCAAATAACAAATGCTGGCGTGGATGCAGAGAGAGAGGAACACTCCTACACTGCTGGTAGGACTGCAAACTAGTTCAACCTCTGTGGAAAGCAATATGGAGATACCTTAAAGCGATACAAGTGAATCTACCATTTGATCCAGCAATCCCATTATTGGGCATCTACCCAAAAGATCCAATGACACTCTGCAAAAAAGATACCTGCACTCGGATGTTTATAGCAGCACAATTCATAATTGCAAGGCTGTGGAAACAGCCCAAGTGCCCATCAATCCAAGAATGGATTAATAAAATGTGGTATATGTATACCATGTTTTATAACTTTTTTCCTACCTGATTTAATAGACAGATGCATAAAATAATTATAAATACACGTTAATAGACAAACATAAAGATATAATTTGTGCAAATGCTAACATAAAGAGGAGCTGGAGCTTCATAGAAAAAGAGTTTTTGTATGTTATTGATGATAAATTAGTATTAATTCAAATTAAATTAAGGCATTAATTGTAATCTCCAAATTACCCACTAATAACTAGAAAATGTACAGAAAAATAAATGGGATGGGACTCATAATAGAAAATATGAAGAAAAGACTGGGATTGGTGGCTCACGCTTGTAATCTTAGCACTCTGGGAGGCCAAGGTGGGAGGATTGCTCAAGGTCAGGAGTTTGAAACCAGCCTGAGCAAAAGCAAGACCCCATCTCTACCCATAAATAGAAAAAAAATAGAAAGAAATTAATTGGCCAACTAAATATATACATAGAAAAAATTAGCTGGGCATGGTGGCAAATGCCTGTAGTCCCAGCTACTTAGGAGGCTCAGGCAGAAGGGTTGCTTGAGCCCAGGAGTTTGAGGTTGCTGTGAGCTAGGCTGATGCCATGGCACTCTAGCCCAGGCAACAGAGAGAGACTCTGTCTTAACAAAAAAAAAAAAAAAAAAAAAAGGAAAAAAGATACAACATGTACAGAACAAATAAAATACAAAAATGGCAAAAGTAAAGTCCTTAATTATCTCCAATCATTAAAAGGTGAAGGTGGCAGAATGGATTTTATAACATGATCCAAATATACAAATTGGTTGAAAGTGAAAGGATGGAAAAATATACTCCATGCAAATAATAGAAAAAGAGCTAGGTGGCCATACTAATATCAGACATAATAGACTTTAATAAAAATTGTTATAGACATTAATTATATAAGATTAATTATAAAAGATCAGAATACATTAACAGATTTTATAGAAGAGGAAACACACACGACTCATTAGTAACACACACTCAGCTTCATTAGTAATTGGTAAATGCAGATTTAAATTACTGTGAGATAGTATTTCATGTCTCGTATTTGGCACAACTTGAAGTTTGACAATACAAAATACTGGCAAGGAGATGGAGCCATAGAAATTCTCATTTTATTCCAGGGGGACTTTAAATTCATAAAACCAATTTGCATGTGGGCCCTCAAATGGAAGGAAAACAATTTTTATCCTATATTAGACATTGTGCCTACACAAAGGAAGTAATCCCAAGATTTAAATGAATGAATGAACACTTGCATCCACTGACTTGACTTCCTATTCATTCCCATCTTCCAATCTTTCAAAAAATTTTTAAACCCACCTCTATTGGAAGAACTTTTAGGCTTATCTCAACTTGGAATATTTCAGTCTATATTCTTTTTTTATGTGTACACTATGTTCCATTAATTTTCATTGCTCTCTGCATGTCCTCTTATGATGGTTAATTTTATGTGTCAATTTGATTGCATCATGGGGCATACAGTTAAATATTATTTCTGAGATGTCTATGAGGATGTTTCCAAATGACATTAGCATTTCAATCAGTGGAATCAGTAGACTGCCCTCCCCAGTAAGGATGAGCATCATGCAATCTGTTGAGGGCCTGAAAAGAGCAAGAAGGCGAAGGAAGGAGGAATCCTATCCCCTTTCTTCCTCACTGCCTGCTTGACTTGGGATCTCAGTCTTCTGGTGCCTTTAGATTGGGATTCACACCATCAGCTCCCCTGGTTCTTAGATCTTCAGATTCAGACTGGAATAATACCACTGGCTCTTTCTTGTCCCCAACTTGCTATCTGCAGATCGTGGGACTTCTCAGGCTCCATAATGGTGTGAACTGATTCCTCATAATAAATCTTTTATCTCCTACAATAAATCTCCTGTTTGGTTCTGTTTCTCTGAAGAATCATGACTAATATACCTCTCGAATCATTTTTTTGTGCACATAATATTCATGTTCCTAAGGTCAGCTCTATGGGACAGGCACATAATAATAAATCCAATAAATATCTATTAATTATGTGCAAGGACCCTTTGAAGCAATTTTGTTTTCTTCCTCTTCACATATAACAGTCTAATAATCTGACATTAGTCCCTCCAATGGAATATATGAGAGATATCTCCATCTCAACTCTTCATGATGGAAGGGTGAGACAAATGCCATACATGAGGTAGCAGCTAAAGGTTAGAAAGAACACATAAATATGATTCTATTTTTGGTCGGCATCCTTTATTTTACATGTATATTGTGCTATATTAATTTTCATTGCTCTCTTCATTTCCTTTCAAATCATTTCACGTGCATATGATCTTTATCTTTTCAGTTAGCATGTAAACAGATGCTATAGATGAGCTGGAAACTAAAGTTTAAAAGGAGCTTCCAAATGTAATCTTTGTTTAGTCACTTAGAATATTTCATAGGAGAAATCTTGGACTCACTTTTATTGAAGAATGTGCTGACCATAAAGCTGAAGCATATTGTGGCAATGGCATAAAACAGCAAAAAAACGAAGATCACAGTTGGGTTACTGTGTTGGATGACTGGCACAGGCTCAATCTAGCAAAACAGTTAGGAAGCCAGTTTAGTCACGCTCTATGTGGCATCACACCAAAACAAAACAGGAGACATGAAACATCCTGAAACATTTTAATAGTCCTGGAGAAACCAAAGACAGTGTTCAGTGAGATGGAGAGTTAACCATTCATTTCTTACAGGAAGGAAGGCTCGTCTAGGTTTAAAGTTTAGTTTGTGTAGAGACTAAGTGGTCTCTTGAGTTGTCAAAGTGGAGTCAACAAAATGCCACATTTTCACTCCCTAGTAACCTGAGATCCATTAGGCCCATGCCATGTTTATCTTTTCCCTCTCGAAGTATTAGCTGCAGCACACTGCAGTCAAATAGACACTTGCCTTGATAAAGAAAGCTATGCATATTAAAATGATGATGATAGTATACAACAAGAGGAATGTGCAGAAATAGGCAGCCCAGAGCATCCAATTACTGAGTCCTATCATGAGCTGGTACTCCTGTGGGAGACATAACATGAATCAAATATCATATAAACAATATATCCATACAGTGCCTTTGAGTTTTCATAACGCATTCACAAGCATTATCTAATTTGATGTCTACAATCAAATTATGTTAACTAACAAATATGATCATCTCTAATTAATAGAGGAGAGAATCAAGGCTCAGAATGTCAAGTAACTTGCATAAAATTATTCAGCTAGTGAGTGGCAGTAATGTGATTCTGTAAAAGCCCAAAGATCATTCTCCTAGTAATTCACCTTATGTTAAGACATTAAAAACACTTAAAGCTATAAACCACTTATATTAATATCTCCTTTATTTTTATTATGTCCTCTTATAGGCATATTAAAGAAGTGTAAATATATTTTAATTTGATTATAAAGTTCAGAAGCAAACACTAAAACTAAGATAAAAAGAAGAAAAAGCTCAAAGGTTCTAGCAATAATCTTCATGAAATATACCTTTTCTTCAGAAGTAGTTGTTTATAGACACATGCAGTATTTCAAGTCATTGCTAATAAAAGTTACTGAAAACTATACATTTACCTCAAAGCTCAGCTTTAGCTATATATCATCAATTTTGATGAATTGTATTTTCCCTATAATTCAGGTTGAAATATTTTTAAATTTCCCTTGTAATTTACTCTTTGATCTATGGACCGTTTATAAGTTTGCTGTTTACCATTTAACTGGCATTTTGACAGATATCATATTGTTACTGAATTTTAATTTTCACTTAAATTGTTACCAGGAAAACATACTTTATATTATTTCAATCCTTTTATGTTAATTGAGACTTGTTTTATGGCTCAACATATGGTCTTAGTTTAATTTCCAAATGTTTGTAATTTTTTCTAGATATATTACCCTTATTGAATCTGTAATTTAAAACCATTGTGATAGAGAACATATTTTATATGATAGAGAACATATTTTATTTCAAGTATCTAGTCTATCCAGTATAAAAAATGCAATTGTTATAAATAGTGTCCTACAAATATTGCTTAGGTTAAGATAGTTGAGAGTACTGTTAAGTCTCACCTCATATCCAATGACAGAAAGGGTTTGAAGTAAAAAGATGAAAAAAGATATTTCATGCAAAATAGTAACCAAAACAGAGCTGGGGAGGCTATATTAATATTAGACAAAATAGACTTTAAGTCAAAACTCCTACAGGAAACAAAGGAGGACACTGTATTTTAAAAAAGGGTCAATTTACCGCAAAGGTAATTATAAACATGTATGCACCAGACATCAGAGCTCCAAATTATACGAAACAAAAATTAACAGAAGTGAAGTACAAATAGTTCTACAATTATAATTGGAGATGACAATATACAATTTTCAATGATGGATAGAACAACCAGAAAAAAGATCAATAAGGAAATAAAGGGAAGCAATGGGACCTGACTGACATATATAGAACATGCCATCCAACAAAAACAGAATACAGATTTTTCTCAAATGTGTAAGAACATCTCCAGAATAAACTATGTTAGGCCACAAAACATGTTTTATTACACTTAAGAAGACAAATCATACAACGTATCTTTTTCTGATCACAATGGAATGAAACTAGAAAACAATAGCAAAAGGAAAATTGGAAAATTCATAAATAGGTGGAAATTAAACAACACGCTCTTAAGCAAGAGTGGCTTTCTCAACCTCAAATGCCACCCCAAAGCCCTACACAGGCAGGAAAGCAACTATCAACTGTGTATTTACCTAGCATGATAGCTAATGCCATCCATCCAAAGCAGCGACTCTGATCAACCTCAGGGGCCCAATCTGCAACCTTGCCCAACTGCAGAACTTACATAGCAGTCCAGTACCACGTGCTCATGGAATCAACACTGTGGCCCATCCCAAACAGAGCCAAACTCAGAGAAAAGGCTGTGGCCCAGCTATCCGGAGAAATCAAAAGCAAGCTCTGCCTGTTCAGGGTCATTACAAATGGGCCCATCCAGATTCACAGGCTAGATTAAATAGTGAAGAATAGTTGAATTCTTTTTCAGTTTTTATTAAAGAACCAACTATATGCTGCCTACAAGAAGTTCACCCTACCTTTTAGGATAAATTGAAAGTAAAGAGATGGAAAAAAATATTCCATGCAAATGGAAACCAAAGAAGAACAGAGATAGCTATATCTATATCTGACAAAATAGACTTTAAATCAAAAACTGTAAAAAGAAACAAAGAAGATCATTATAGAATGTTAAAATAGTCAATTAATCAAGAAGGTATAGTAATTATAAATATTTATGGATCCAACATTAGAGTGCCTAAATATATAAAACAAATACAAATAGATATAGAGAGATACACTGTAATACAGTAATAGTAAAGGGACTTCAAAACTCTTTTTGGGGGACAGATCATTCAGATAGAAAATCAACAAAACAGCTATGCATTTGAACTACACTTCAGACCGATACACCTAACAGACATATAAACAACATTCCATTCAACAGCAAATGAGTGCGTATTTTTCTCTAGCACACATGAACCATTCTCCAGGATAGATCATATGGTACATCACAAAACAAGTATTAACAAATTAAACAGGCTTGAATTCATATCAACTATCTTTTCTTATGACAATGGTATTAAACTATGAATCAGTAACAGAAAAAATCTTGGAATATTCAAAACTATATGGAAATTAAGCAACATGCTTTAAACAACCAATCATCAAAAATAAATCAAAAGAAAAATTTAAAAAATCTGGAGACAAATGATAATGGAAAAAAAAATAACAAAACTATGGGATGCAGCAAAATCAGTTCTAAGAGGGAAGTTTATAGCATTAAATGCCTACATCAGAAGAGATACCTCAAATAAACAGCCTAAAATTACACCTAAACGATCTAGAAAAAACTTAAAGATAAGTGAAAGGAAAAAAAGGAGAAATAAAATAGAAACTGGAAATACAATAGGAAAAAAACCAGCAAAATTAAGATTTTTTTTAAATAAAGAGAGATAAAATTGACACATCCTTAGCTAGACTAAATTTAGATACCCTGGAAGAAATAAACAAACTCCTAAACACATACAAAGTAATAGTGAACCATGAAGAAAGAGAAAATATGAACAGACCATTAATGAGAAAAAAAGATTGAATCAGTAATTTAAAAGTCTTCCATTTGAAAACACATTTTAAAAAAATAAAAAATAAAAGTCTTCCATCAAAGAAAAGTCTAGGACCCTAATGGCTTCACTGCTAAATTTTACCAGACATTTAAATAAGGACTAATATCAAGCCTTCTCAACCCTTCCAAAAAAACTAAAGAAGAGGGAATATTTCCAAACTCATTTTCTAAGGCCAGCATAACACTGACACCAAAGCCCAACAAGGACTTTACAAGAAAAGAATATCATAGGCCAATACCCCTAATGAACATAAATATAAAAATCCTTAACAAAATATGAGCAAACCAAATTCAACAGCACATTAAAAGGTTCACTCACCATGATCAAGTAAGATTTATCCTAGGGATGCAAGAATGGTTCAATATATACAAATCTATAAATTTGATATACTATATTAACAGAATAAAGGACAATAACCACACAATTTTCTTAATAACACTGCAGAAAAAACAGCTGACACAATTCAACCTACTTTCATGATATAAACCCTCAACAAGCTAGGTATAGAAGGAACTTACCTCAACACAATAAAGGCCATAAATGGGAAGCCCACAGCTAATGTCATACTTAACAGTGAAAAGCTGAAAGTTTTTCCTCTAAGATCAGAAACAAGACAAGGGATGCCCATTCTTGCCACTTCTATTCCACAGAGTATTGGAAGTCCTGGCCAAGCAATTAGGCAAGAGAAAGAAATAAACGGCATACAAGTTGGAAAGGAAGAACTTCCATTGTTATTGTTTGCACACATGATTTTATATAGAGAAAACCCTAAAGAATCCACCAAAATCCTAACCATTCTAATGAATAAATGAATTCAGTAAATGTAGGGTACAAAATCAGCAGTGTTTTATACATCAACAACCAACTATCTTAAAAATATAAGAAAAAAATCCCATTTATAATAGCTAAAATAAAATTAAATTACATTGAAAAAATACTGAGGAATACATTTAGCCAAGGGGGTTAAAATCCTGTACACTAAAAACTATCAGACCTTAATAAAAGAAATTGAAGAAGACACATAATTTAAAGATATCCATATTCATGGACTAGAAAAATATTGTTAAAATAACTGTACTATCCAAAATAATCTATAAATTCACACAATCTGTATCAAAATTTCAATATTATTTTTCACAGAAAGAGAAAAATGTTTCTAAAATTCATATGGGACCAATAACCAAAGCAATCTTTTAAAATTGATATCTAATAGTTGTACTTATTTTGGGGGTACATGTGATATTTTGATACCTGCATATGATGGGTAATGATCAAATCAGTGTACTCTTGAATAAAAAGAACAAAGCTGGAGGCATCACACTCTTTGACTTTGAACTATATTACAAAGCCATAGTAATTAAAACAGCATGGATTGGCATAAAAATGTACACATTGATCAATGGAACAAAATAGAGAGCTCCAAAACAAACACACACATTTGCCATCAATTGATTTTTGACAAAGGTGCCAAGAATACACAATAAAGAAAGGGTAGTCTGCTTAATGAATGGTACTGGGAAAACTGGCTATCCATATGCAGAAGAATGAAACTGGACTCATCTCACACCATATACAATATCAACTCAAAATGGATTAAATATTTACATGTGAGATTTGAAACTATACAATAACTAGAAGAAAACAGGTGAAAACTATACATTTGTCTGAGCAAGGATTTTTTTGGTTTTGTACCCAATATCTCAGGCAACAAAAACAAAAATAGACAAATAGAATTTAATTGGACTGTATCCAATTAAAAAGATTCTGCACAGATAAAAAACCAGTTATCAGAGAGAAGATACAACCTATGCACTGGGGAAGAATATTAGAAAAGGGGTGAATACAAAAATACATAAGGAACTCAAACAACTCAATATCAGGAAAACAAATAACCTGATTTAAAAATGGCCAAAGGACCTGAAGAGACACTTCTAAAAACAACACATACAAATGGCCAACAGGTATATGAAAAAATGCTCAACGCTAGTAACCATTTGAAAAATGCAAATTAAAACCACAGTGAGATATCATCTCACACTTGTTAAAATGACTATTATCAAAAGGATAAATGATACCAAGCATTGGTGAGGATGCAGAGAAAAAGGAACCTTTGTACACGGTTGACGGGAATGTAAATTAGTACAGCTATTCTAAAAAATTTTATGGAAGTTCCTCAGAAAAACAAAAACTAGAGTTACCATATTATCCAGCACTCCCACTTCTGGTATGTATCCAAATGAAATGAAATCAACATGTGAAGACATATTTGCATTCCCATGTTCACTGCAACATTATCCATAATAGCCCAGATATGCAATCAATCCACCAATAGATGAATGGATATAGAAAATATGTACATATACACAGTGAAATACTAGTTTGCCTTTAGAAAGAGGGAAATTTTGTCATTTAGGACAACATGAATGATCCTGGAGGACATTATGCTAAGTGAAATAAGCCAGGAACAGAAACACAAATAACACATGATCTCACTGATATGTGGAACCTTAAACAACTGAATTCATAGAAGCAGAGAGCAGAATGGTGGGTACCAAAGGCTGGGGGAGAGGAAGTGGAAGGCATGAGGAGATGTTAGTCAAAGGGAAAAAGATTTCAGTTAGGAGAAATAATTTGTAAGTTTTTGAGGTGAATAAAAAACACCAAAATAATAGAAAATATTGGTAAATAGCTTACATTAAAATTAAGAACTTATAATTATTAAAGGGCCGCATTGTGAGAGTGAAAGACATTAGGACAAGATATCTGTAATGTGTATCAACCATCAAACCAAGTGTATTCCAAATACACTAGAAGTTCTTACAGCCCCACATGAAAGTAAAACAAAACAAACAGAGGCTAGTATGGTGGCACTCGCCTGTAGTCCCAGCTACTGGGGAGGCTGAGGCAGGAGAATCTTGAGCCCAGTAATTCAAGTCCAGCCTGTGTAACATAGCAGACATTTCATTGAGGAGAATACACAAGTGGCCAATAAACATTTAAAAATATGTTCAACTTCATTAATATTAAGAAAAATGCATATTAAAACCACAGTGAACAGGAGAGCTCAACGCAGTACTCAGAAAAGTGAGGACAAACAGGAATGCACCTGCAGCCCTACATCTGCCTCCCTCTACCTCTTAGCAATGAGAACATTTAGAATGTAATGCTCACTGCTTCGCTTTAGCTTCCCACATCATGCCACTTCACTTTCCGCCAACTTCAGCCAGAAACCACAAGGGGAAGAATTTTCTAGGAAATAGTTCCCAGTGTAAACGAGTTGGTGAGAAAACAAATCCAGCAAAACAAGATACCATTACACACTCACCAGACTTGGTAAAATTAGAAAACACTGGTAATATCAAATGTTAGTGACAATGTGGAGCAAACAGAATGTTCGTGCATTGCTACTGATCATGTAAATTGGCAGAACCTTGCTGGCAAATTTTGGCATTATCTACTAATGGTAAATACACATAATGCAACATTCAGCAAAAGAGATATGCATCCAATCTTTATAGGAGCATGACTTATAATAGTCTTCAAAAAACCCAAACGATCATCAAAGGAAAATTGATAAATTATGATATAATCATACTATGGATTCTTAGGACTCAATTAATATAAATGAACTACAGCTACATAGTCAGCTGAATGAATCACACAGACATGGAATATTACGGTGCAGGATTCCATTTATTTTGCATTCCAAAACAGACAAGATTAACTCATGATTTTAGAAATCATGTTAGTGTATACCTTGGGAAAAAATTTTTGATGGGTGTACAAAGGGACTCCTAGGGTGCTGGCAGTGTTTCATTTCCTTACAGGGCAAAGACAAAACAGGTGTATTTCCTTTAAGCTAAATCTATACAAATATGATTTGTGCACATTTCTTTATGCATGTTATAAAATAAGGAATAAATATAAGTCATATGAATGAAGTTTGTACAGCATGCTCTGGGTAGCACTAAGGGAAAAGTATCAAATTATAGTTGAGATTAAAGAGAAATATCAACAAGGAGTTGGCACCTATGAAAGAGGAGGCAAGAAGGTTGGTGTGTGTTCACCAATCAGAGCAAAGAGAAAGGCGTTACAGTCAGAGGAAATGAACACAGGGAAGCTTCTAAATAAGCTATTCATTTTGGCTGGAAGGAAAGGGATTTACTGGGATAAAAAAAACAACAATATCATCATCACCGTAATGGGAAGCAGCTAGATGCCAAATCTTTGAAAATCTGTCTGCTTAAATGGACTTTTTATTCACAGGCAATTGGATAAATCACAAAATGTGTTTCTAGCCATTGGTGTTATAGGATAATTACCCTGGTAACAATGTGGAAGGTAGATTAGGAGGAGAGAGAGTCAGCAGAGAGATAAGAGAGGGATGGTGAGAAGTAATGTGAACCTGATCTGTAAAGTAGTGCTGCAACTAATAAAGGGAAGGAGGAAAATGACATCCCTCATGATTACACAAAGGAGATAAAGTGAAATTGATAGACCACTGATATTAACAGCTATAGCTCAGGTACTGAGCACTTGGTGTGTACCAGGCACTACACTCAACACTCTACACGTATTTCCTCATTTATGCCTCACAATAGCAGGCCTGGGTGATTTAAAAGTGGTAACTTTTCATATAACAGCTCACTTAATATCATGACAGCCCTGCTAGTTAGGTATTATTAATCTCAATTTACATCTGAGAAATTAAGCTAGAAAAATTATAAACCATGTTATAAGAGTTACTAAGTAATAGAGCCAGGATTCAAACCTATGACTTGTCAGAGTCCCTGAAACAAAGTAGATACTTAATAAATAAAAATCATTAAATGAATCATTGGTTAAATGGATGATGACTAGATTTTGAACTAAAAATGGCTTAGCACAACATGCCCTGGACCAAGATATTATATAATACCAGAGGGGACTAGAAGAGGTCATTTTTTAAAAATGTACAGATCAGAAAGTGGTAAAAAAAATCAGAGAATCACAGAATCTTGGAATTGTATCTAAATTCATCTAGATATAATACTAATAGCTCAGTTGATTACTTCTTTATTCCAGCGAGGTTTTAGGGCATTTTCACATTTAAATTTTATCTATAATATTCTCGTGAAGTTGTTTGTCTAGAACTAAAACTAAAAACCATGTTAAGAATTCTAATAAAATTATAATATATTGCTAAGAGATTTAAATGTTCAGACCTTGGCCACTGCTAAGACATAACAATTGACCAATGTTGAGTATGTAGAGATAATTCAACTTCCCACATAAATTTTCCGTCCACATCCAGAATTTTCTACAGAAGTTCTATCTACCATAAGAAAAGCAGTTACCTTCAGTCGGTTTTCTTTTTCCGACACAATGGATTGAAGGAGGGTAAGATAATTCATAGAGAAGATACATACTATTACTAAAGGAACGAAAATACCACAAAACATAAAGAAGTAATCATGAAGATACTCCGGGTATGGAAATCGTTGAACAAAAATGCTGATATTATCAAACAGCAATTGTGCAGTACTGTTATGGTAGAGGATGATGGCCATATCTATGAAATGTTGCACAGTCAGGAATCCTTCCATAATGTATGCTAAATGGGAAAACAAAGATTGCTAAGTACAACAGACCAAAAAATAGTTGAGCTGAACAAAGAAAAAGGCAATTAAAGTTTGTCAAAGATAGCAAAGCTAACTATTGTAACGAGGCTTTTCTCATGGTTTAACTTTCAGAGCAGCTATCATGGTTTTACCACACGAGTACACAGTAAAAACTTTCTAAAAGGATCATAATGCACAGCTTCCAAGAAATGAAATACTGCATGAAATTATAGAACTGCATTCTGCAATTTCAATAAACTGACATAAATGAAAAATTGAATTGATTGTTGGCTAGACAAAGACTTTGATTCTGCACCCTGATCATTTGAAAACAGAAATGAAGCTCATACAAGAAGCAACACAAATGAGTGACTTATATGAGCTGATGTCCAATAAAGCAGCATTAATAAAAATATTGCCCTTTGACCTATGATAATGTGCAGTTTCTTACTTGTACGTGAATTTGGTATAGAAATTAAGAACAAGTACTTAAAAACTTTTATAGAAATTTAACATTGCCATGATATCGAAAAAGAAAATTTTCCATTAATTTATACAAGTCTTTTATATATTATGAATGTGAAACCTGTGTCAGATATATATGTCATGCATATTTTCTCCCCTTGTAATTTTGTCTTTTTTATTTAATAGTGTGTTTCATGTGGGAAGCTTTGATAAAGTCTAATTCATAAAAGTTTTTATAGTAAGTACCTTTTTTGTCCAAACAAATCATTGCTTACCCCAAACATATTCTCATAAATTTTGCTACAGAAAGTTTCTAATTTTAGCTTTATGATCATCTTAATTTTGTATAGGCTGTGATCAAGATTCATTGTTTCCATATGGATATCAAGTTATTATAGCACAATATAAGATTTCCTTTCTGCAGTGAATTATATTGGCACCTCCACAGAAAATCCAGTAACTGTATGTGTATAAGTCTATTTCCAGACACCCTATTCTTTCTGATGGCCTATTTGTTTATCCTTATACCTATATGACAATGTCTTCATTACTATAGCTTTAGAGCAATCTTGAAATCAGGCAGGATATGTTCTCTGGCATTGTTCTTTTTTTAATTTTATTATTTAATTTTATTTTTTATTTCAGCATATTATGGGGGTACAAATGTTAAGGTTATATACATTGCCCTGTCTCACCTCCCCCGTCGAGTCAGAGCTTCAAGTGTGTCCATCCCCTAAACGGTGCGCATCACATTCACTATGTATGTAAATACCCACCCCCTTCTCCCCCCTCCCACCTGCCTGACACCCAATAAATGTTTTATTTTCCCTAACATTTTGGTTAAATTTTATATCTCTGCCTCTCCCTAGCAAGGGTTAGAGGTATGCCCCTCCCCTCCACAATGTTCATCACATCCCCCAGATGTGGGACTATTCCCCCAACCCCTGAATCCCTGGTGAACACCACCACCCATTGAGCACCATAGTGTTAATCAGTCAGTACCAATTTGTTGGCGAACATATGTGGAGACCATTATTCTGATCTTGTGTCACCTCACTTTGGATAATGGGCTTCAGCTCAGTCCAGGATAATATAAGTGGTGCTAGCTCGCTGTCATTCTTAGAATTGGGTAATATTCCATTGTAAATATATATCAAATTTTAATAATCCACTCATGAATTGAGGGACACTGGGGTTATTTCCACATCCTTGCTATAGTGAATTGTGCTGCCATAAATATTTGAGTGCAGATGTCTTTATAATAGAATGTCGTATGCTCTTTGGGGTAGATGCCTAATAATGCTATTGCTGGGTTGAATGGTATTTCTATTTTTAGCTCTTTGAGATATCTCCAAATTCTTTTCCACAAAGCTTGCACTAATTTGCAGTCCCACCAGCAGTGTAAGAGTGTTCCTGTCTCTCCACTTCCTCGCCAGCGTTTGTTGTTTTGGGATTTCTTGATACAGGCCAATCTCACTGGGGTTAGATGATATCTCACTGTGGTTTTGATTTGCATATCTCTAATGATTAGAGAGGTTGAGCATTTTTTAATATGTTTGCTGGCCATTATTCTGTCTTCTTTTGAAAAGTTTCTGTTCATTTCCATTACCCATTTCTTGATGGGGTTGTTTGATTTTTCCTTGTTAATTCTTTTGAGCTCTAGATAGGTTCTTGTTATCAAACTTTTATTAGAAGTGTAGAGAGCAAATATTTTCTCCCATTCTGTAGGTTGTCTGTTTGCTCCATTGATAGTTTTCCTGGCTGTGCAGAAGCTTTTTAATTTGATCAGGTCCCATTTGTTTATTTTTGTTGCTGCGATGATTGCTTTGGGGTTCTTCTTCAAGAATTCTTTGCCTAGGCCAATGTCTGAGAGGGTTTTCCCAACATCTTCTTCTAGGATTCTTAGGATTTTATGCCTTAGGTTTAAGTCTGTTATCCATCTTGAGTGGATTTTTGTGAGAAGTGAAAAGTAGGGATCCTGATGCATTCTTCTGCATGTAGCTATACAGTTTTCCCAGCACCATTTATTAAAGATAGATTCATTTCCCCAATGTATATTTTTGTTTGCTTTATCAAAGATTAGGTTACCATATGAAATGGTCTCATCTCTGGAATCTCAGACCAATTCCTAACATCAATGCTTCTGTTCTTATGCCAGTACCAGGTTCATTTAATTATTATTGCTTTATAGTACAGCTTGAAGTCAGGAAGACTGATGCCTCCCAGTTTGTTTTTTTTACTTAAGATTGCTTTGGCTATACAAGGTTTTCTCTGGTTCCATATAAAGTGAAGAATTATTTTTTCTAAATCTGTAAAGAATGATGGTGGTACTTTGATGGGGATTGCATTAATTCTGTAGATGACTCAGGTAATATTGACATTTTAACAATATTGATTCTACCAATCCATGAACAAGGTAGATTTTTCCATCTGTTTACATATTCTACAATTTCTTTTTTTAGTGTTTTATAGTTCTCCTTGTATATGTCTTTCGTTAAATATATTCCTAGATATTTAATTTTCTTTGGGGCTATAGTAAAAGGTATTGTGTTTTTTATTTGAGTTTTGGCTTGACAGTTCTTGACATATATGAATGCCTCTGATTTGTGTATATTGATTTTGTAACCTGAGATTTTACCAAATTCATTTATCAAGTCTAGGGGTCTTTTGGACTAATCCATGGGGTTTTCTAGGTATAATATCATATCATCAGCAAAGAGCGAGAGTTTGATTGCATCTTCCCCCACTTGGATGCCCTTAATATCCCACTCTTGCCTGATAGCTATAGCTAGGACTTTGAGCACTATGTTGAATAGAAGAGGAGATAGTGGGCATCCTTGTCTAGTTCCAGATTGAAGTGGGAATGGTTTCAGTTTTTCCACATTGAGTATGATATTGGCCATGGGTTTGTCATAAATGGATTTGATAATTTTAAGGTATGAGCCGCTAATGCCTATTTTGTTAAGTGTTTTTATCATAAAGATGTGTTGGACTTTGTCACATGCTTTTTCTGTATCTATTGAGAGAATCATATGGTCTTTGTTCTTGTTTTTGTTTATGAGGCAGATTGCATTTATAGACTTGCATATGTTGAACCAGCCTTGCATCCCTGGAATAAAGCCGACCTGGTCATGGAGAATTATTTTTTTGATGTGCTGCTGGATTCTCTTTGCTAAAATTTGTTGAGGATTTTTGCATCTACATTCATGAGGGATATTGGTCTGTAATTTTCTTTTTTTGTTGTGTCCTTTTCTGGCTTTGGTATCAAGGTGATATTGGCTTCATAGAATGAGTTAGGAAGGATACCACCCTTCTCAATGTTGTGGAATAATTTCTGTAGTATAGGTATGACTTCATCTTTGTATGTTTGGTAAAATCCTGAAGTGTAGCCATCTGGTCTGGGACTTTTCCATTTGGGGAGGTTGTTAATTACTGCTCCAATTTCTGCACTTGAGATTGGTCTACCCAGGAATTCTGTTACCTTCTGGGTGAACTTAGGGAGGTTGTATGAGTCCAGGAATTTGTCCATTGTTTCCTCATTATTTAGTTTTTGGGCATATAGTTGTTTATGGTAGTCAAAGATAATGTTTTGTATTTCTGTGGTGTCTGTTTTGACTTCTCCTTTTCCATTTCTTATTGATTTTATTAAAGTCCTTTCCCTTTGAGTTCTAGTCAGTCCAGCAAGAGGGCTATCAATTTTGTTTATCTTTTTGAAAAACCAGCTTCTGGTTTGTTGATCTTCTGTATAATTCTCTTGTTCTCCATTTCATTTAGTTCTGCTTTGATCTTTGTTATTTCTTTTCTTCTACTAGAATTGGAATTGGTTTGCTCTTCTTTTTCCAATTGCTTGAGTCTATTCATTAGGTTGTCAGTATCTAATCTTTCTTTTTTTTTTTGGATGTGAGCATTTATTGCTATTAGTTTTCCTCTCAGGTATGCTTTTGCTGTATCCCACAGGTTTTGGTAACATGTGTATCCCTTATCATTTCGTTCAAAAAAACTCTTGATTTCCGTCTGAATTTCCTCCTTGACCCAATAATTCTTCAATAATAGATTGTTTGGTTTCCATGACTTTGTGAAGTGTTGAGTGTTTCTATAGGAATTGAACTCTAGTTTTATACCACTATGGTCAGAGAAGACACATGGTATAATTTCTATTTTCTTAAATTTTTTGAGATCTTATTTGCAGCCTAGTATGTGATCAATTTTGGAGAAGGATCCATGGGCAGCTGAGAAGAATGTAAATTCAACTTTATTTGGGTGAAATGTTCTGTAGAGATCTGTCAGACCTTTTTGATCAAGAGCTTTGTTTAAGCCCATTATTTCTTTGCTTATTTTCTGTTTGGAGGATCTATCCAGTTCATTCAGTGGAGTGTTGAAGTCCCCTGCTACTATGGCAGTATTGTTTAACATGCTATTTAGATCATACAAGGTTTGCTTTATGTAATTGGGTGTTCCTGCATTGGGTGCATAAATATAAAGAATTGTTAAATCTTCTTGTTGGATCTTCCCTTTCACCATTATAAAG